TAGAATAATTTTCTTATCATATGGGTTTTTGATAAATTACTGCTAGATTAAGGACATAGATCTGGATAGCTTAAAAGAGAGTAATGGTTCTCAAGTGAAATAAGTGGATAAGGAGGAAGGAGAAAAAAAAAATTCAAGATTGTTTGGGAAACTTTAACAAACTACAAGTGCTTCAGTAAGGGGCACTAACATACCTGGATATGTGAGTTTGAAAAATCATCCTGGAGATTCTAATCTCCCCAAGAACCCATTACAGAAATAGTGACCAACAGGAAAATTGATATAATGCTAAAAAATTTTTATCCATGGTCCTTTCTTTGCATAAATAACTCATGGAAAATGGATATATGCCTTATGGTACATTTACAGTATAACTCTGAAATACATGTATGTTTACTCATAAATGCATAGTTTTAAATAACATTGTAGGAATGTACACATAAGTATAGAAAGTAAAAAAGATATCAGTATAATACATATAAAAATATTTTCCATCCCCCAAAGCATTTCCTTGCACAGCCTACATTTCATACCACTGCTCTCAACAACCATTCAGATGCTAAGCATTGCAAAATACATGCTGAGTCCACATCCACTGCCTTCTCCAGCAATCTCCTTTCAAAGACCACACTTAACTTCCACATAACATACGTTCACCATCCTTCATTTAAGTTTGGAATTTTATTTCAATTTTTTCCTAGCTTAGTGGATTGAGTATGAATACCAACATTTGGAGATACACAAATTTTTAAACTTCCTGTACCAGGTGGGAGGGGAAACTACTCAGTATATTGGTGAGGATGGCCTATCTATAGCTAATTGTTTTGACAAAATGGGAATACTTCAGAAATTAATATGCCATTAGCTCTACTTTTATTTCATGTTCATCATGCTTTTTAGAGTTTCAAATAAAGTTGAATTGAATTCAGTTCAAATTCAGAAAAGTGAAAAAATATAAATCAAGACTACCTCAGCCCAGCAGTGGCTCAAGCCTATAATCCCAGCACTTTGGGAGGCCAAGGCAGGTAGATCATTTGTGGTCAGGAGTTCAAGACCAGCCTGGCCAACATGGTGAAACCCTGCCTCCACTAAAAAATACATAAATTAGCTGAGCAGCAATGGCACGCACGCACCTGTAATCCCAGCTACTTGGGAGGTTGAGGCAGGAGAATCGCTTGAACCTGGGAGGCAGAGGCTGTGGTGAGCAGAGATTGTGCCACTGCACTCCAGCCTGGGTGACTGTCTCAAAAAAAAAAAAAAAAAAAAGACTACTTCAGCCCAATAGTTCCACTTCTAGGAATCTAAAGGAAATAATCAAAGATTCACGTGCAGCTGGGCATAGTGGCTTACACCTGTAATCCCAGCACTTTGAGAGGCCAAGGCAGGAGGATCACCGAGCCCAAGAATTTGAGACCAGTCTGGGCAAAATAGGGAGATTCTGTCTCTAGGGAGATTGTATCTCTAAAAAAAATTTTTTTAAATTTAAAAATTAGCCAAGCATGGTGGCATGTGCCTGTAGTCCTAGCTACTTGGGTGGCTGAGGTGGAAGGATCATTTGACCCTGGGAGGTCAAGACTGCAGTGAGCTGTGATCACATTACTGCACTCCAGCCTGAGCAACTTCGAGACCCTGTCTCAAAAAAAAAAAAAAAAAAAGATTCGCATGTAAGGATGTTTGTTTTGGAGTTACACAAGGAAAACATAAATAAATGTCAACGACAGAGAAGAATCTTTTTTGAAACTAAATAGTGGAATATTATGTGTAACTATTAAAAATTATGTCCTGGGCCAGGTGTAGTGGCTCATGCCTGTAATCCCAGCACTCTGGGAGGCTCACAGTACAACAAAAAATTACTAAAAATACAAAAAATTAGCCAGGTGTAGTGGCATGTGCCTGTAATCCCAGCTACTCGGAAGGCTGAGGCAGAAGAATCGCATGAACCTGGGAGGCAGAGGTTGCAGTGAGCCAAGATGGCGCCACTGCACTCTAGCCTGGCCGACAGAGTGAGACTCCATCTCAAAAATGAATAAATAAAAATAAAAAATAAATAATAAAAAAAATCAAAACTATGTCCTCAGCTGGGCGTGGTGGCTGACACCTGTAATCCCAGCAATTTGGGAGGCCAAGGAGGGCAAATTGCTTGAGCCCAGGAGTTCAAGATCAGCTTGGGCAACACAAAGATCCCGTCTCTACAAAAAATACATAAATTAGCCTGGCATGGTGGCATGCCTGTGGTCCCAGCTACACCCAGCTACTTGGGAGGCTGAGGTGGGAGGATCACTTCAGTCCAGGAGCGTGAGGCTGCAGTGGGCTGTGCTTCAGGCCGAGTGCACTGCACTCCAGCTTGGGTGACAAAGCAAGACCTTGCCTTCAAAAAAGGAAGAAAAATATTGTCCTCTAGAATGTTTAATAAAATGATATTGTGAACATTTAAATTTTGCTGCCAAATGAAACATCTATGTATAAAGTCTTAGTTTTGTTAATGTGTTTATATATGAGTGAATATATATATATAATTGCAGCAAAATATTAACAGTGGCTATATGTAGGTGACATAAGAGTATTTTTCTTCCTCATACTTTTCTGTTTCTCCAATTTTCTGCAATACATATATTTATTTTAATATCAGAAAAAAAACTTAAAGAAAATCCTATAGCCATTCGTGGTGGCTCACGCCTGAAATCCCAGCACTTTGGGAGGCTGAGGCAGGTGGATCACCTGAGGCCAGGAGTTCGAGATCAGCCTGGCCAACATGATGAAATCCCATCTGTACTAAAAATACAAAAATTAGCTGGGCATGGTGGCACGTGCCTATAGTCCCTGCTACTCGGGAGGCTGAGGCAGGAAAATCACTTGGACTCAGGAGGTGGAGGTTGCAGTGAGCTGAGATCGCACCACTGCATTCCAGCCTGGGTGACAGAACAAGACTCTGTCTCAAAGAAAAGAAAAGAAAAATCCTATATATTCAAATAGCCAGTACATTTTCTGTGCTTGCCATTTGTTAAGCCTGAAAAAAAGAGATATATCTTACTCATCTGAACACTAGTCTTTTTCTGAGCATAGAAGTCACAAGTTTAGATAAACCATACTGAGGACCTATGTGGAATAGACTCACCAGTTACTGCAGCCCATGACTGGGTTCATTCAAAATTCAAGCAAAACAAAAAGTCTGTGGTTACTAAATGGAACCACCAGGTGCCACTATTGCTTCACAGAAAGGAGTAAAATACTTAGCATGACTATTTTTTAGGAAGAATAAATATACGCTTTCACTCTGGGATAATACTAAAGTCTTCTTAGAAAACATAATAAATTATTATGTTCACTTCATTTCAATAATTTTATGCACATATCCCAAAGGTCAATTGGGAGAGATGTGAAATCGTGGTTCCTATCAATTCCTACATATGAACAAATGGGGTTGGAATTGAAAATAAAGAACACATTATAGGAAGAAATAAATTCAGGCCATAAAAGTTGACTTTATCTTCTGAAATGTCCTACTAATAGCAGAATTTTAATGCTACTGTGTACCACTGTTTCTGTGGAAAACGTATTCTTCATTCCAACTCTGAATGGCAGGGGATGCATGTCTTTCTACCCTGACTTCCACTTTCAACTGGTAGCTATTTAACTTCTCCATCTATAAAATAGTAATACAACCTCATAGAGTAGTTTTAATGATTGAATAGCTACATCTGTGTAGTGTGGGTAAAAAAATTTTTTTAATAAAAAATTTGATAAAAGACTGACTAGCATCATAAATAACATAAAGAAGGTTAGAAAATTTATTACTTCTCTGTAGGAATAAAAAGCTTCCAACTCCTTTGGCTGCTAAGGCCATGTCTAAATAAGACCAGGGAATCTCTCTATCCCAGTGGTAAAAAACGGTGCCAGGTTGGTGTTTCAGGACATGGGTCTTTTGACTCATGTCTAATTCAGGCTCTGTCACCTATGAGGAGTAAACCATGACAAGTCACTGGGCCTTCAGGTTTCTCATCTTCGAAATAAGGGGGATGGATCAAATGGCTCTTAAGCCCCCTCTTAAGTCCCCTCCAGCCAAGAATCCTATGGTTCTATAAAACTTGTACCACAGAGGTTGTCCTTCTATTTTTGCATAATATACTTTTCTGACTCAACATTTTGCAAGAATTACAATTGGAGGACAAAGGGTTGTAGTAACCATCGGTTACTACATCGGTTAAATGATTCAATCATTTAACATTTATCGAGCTCTTCAATGTACCAGACAAGGTGCTAGACTCTAAGGATATAAAAATGATGATACTATCTCTTCCTTCAAGGATTCTACAGTCAAATTGAGAAACAGACACAAATGCATAATTACAATGCAACAGGCTGGAGGTATGGATTGTGGCATATCTAAGGAGCTGTGGCAATACATGATGAGGTAGGTACCTCATCTTCAGTATGGCTGTTGTTCAGTCAGTTTCATGGAATTGAGAATAACTGTGAGTGACTTTTCTTTGCCTAGAGCTGTTTTCAAGATGAGAAACTTTCTGGGCAATCCTTTTGTGGCTATACAGACTTTTGCCTCCGAGAGACTTAGACAAGTATTTTCTCAGGTACACATTGCTAGGTTTATAACCTATATGAAAATAAGAAGTGAACTCCCTGTAGCACAGCAGAAAGAAGACAGATAATTATTTGAGCTAGACCAGAAGAGATTCTCCTGCATTTAGCATAGATATTCACACTCAATTTCAGTCCCATTATGTTTCTAAATTCCCTCTCCTCCTTGGTGTTCTTCACTGGCTGTTTCCTCTTCTCTGAAAAATGCTAGGCTAAGCTTTTCCAGATCTTTCTCAACTGGGTCAGCAACTCTAAACCCCTGCTGCATCTGTGCTCTTGCCAATATACCTTCATTGATCTAAGACTCTCAAACCAGGGCATTAAGGGGTTGGAGAAGAAATGAAAGAGCAAATGCCAACCTGTACCACCTAGCAATTTCAAAGGCTACCAAATCCCCATCTGCTTACCAGACTTTCAGTAGTAAGCTCCGGCAAATCCTGGATGGTGCAGCAAGGGTAATCCAGGACTGAGATGCTGTAAGATGCAGAGATAAGGACAGGCTTTAGGTAAATGACAACAGCAGGAATTGGCTGTATCTGAAAAGGGCAGGAGTTATTTCTCTCCAGCAGCCCCTATCCAGTTCCCAAATTGCTTAGTGACCTCAGCTGAAACTGAGGGCTCTGGTGCCAGGCAACTCTAGCTCCAGTCTCCTTTCCTATCAGGAGAGGAACCAATGAGTTCTTTGAGGCTGGCCCCCATCTGGTAGATGCAAAAAAGAGCAGAAAGAGAGCCTCTTTTCTTAGCACTCCTTGCTTCTTTAAAGGAATACGTAAACTTAAGTGCATTTGTGTTTCTGCATTTAACTGTATGTGTGAATATAACTGCTCCCACAGACGTGGTCCAAACCCATCCCACTGGATAACAATCTGAGGATGTGAGGATGAAATGATCCTCCTGTGTCTCTCACCAGATCTTTCTGAAAGCTGGGAGCTCTGGGGAATGATTACAGAAGCCACTCCTAAAGGAAGCTTGAGACAGGGGCAGCTTCCTATAGAAAGGCTAATCTAGGAACTCAAGAATGATAATAGCTGACAGTGGGGGACTGCAAGTTACAGCTCTGTGGTGAGCCCAGGGAAGCAGGCATGAGTTAGGAGGGGAAATAAGGCATTGCATTATGACAAGGACATAGTTACAAAATAAATGACAGCTCTCTCTTTCCTCTTCTCCCTTCTTCATTGACACAACACAGAATCTGGACTAGCTAATCTCTAATGCTCCTTCTGGTTCTGACATTCCATGAGGTTTTGAACACCAATCTATCTGAACTAGTGCAGTTGGAAATGAATAAAGGATGTTGGTAAAGCAGTGGCTATAAAGACGAGTTCACACTGCTATAATGAACCTGTCTCTACATTTCAAAAGTCAAAATTTCTATACAAGCAAAAGGCAACAATTTATTTGGCCAGAAATGTTTACCTTTGTCCAAGAAACTCGGACAAAGATAACCTGGGGGACCAGGGTAGGAGAGAAGAAGAGTCAGCTTGGGACAGGACTGTGTCAAACTACCTGTAATGTTGTTCATCATCTTGATTTACTCTATCAGATTTTCCCAGGGTTGCCAGTTCTGTACTGCTCCATTAGGATGAACATTCTTGGCTGGCTCATTCACCTATCCACCCACCTCCTACTGACGAAGCCCTATGGCAAAGTAGGTGCTGGCGACCAGGAAATGGGGGTGGGAAATCAAAGATGGATTTGTTCCTTTCCCTTAGTGAACTGAAATCTAGCCTAAGGGGGCATAAAATTAATTTACAAGTATCTAGAACATCTAGATTGTAAGATCCATGAGAAAATTCTGCAATAATGAGTTGTGATCTCCAAGTTCTCAGAAATCATTCAAAAGTAAAACTTACAGTTCATGCATAAGAGGATCATCTTGTTCAGGCCAACCTTAGCAAAAGGTATAGTCTGTTGCTACCACTCTTCCAACTCCAAATTGAACCAAATGGATATCTATTGAATTGTCTGTCCCCCCCATTCTACGTCCATGGGTGCAGAAAGAACATTAAGTTTCTGTATACCACTCCCCTAGCCACAGTTGATTTAGGGGTGAACCTAGGGAATCTGGAATAGGGATTGGAGAGTCAATTCAGTCTCTGAGGTGGGGCATGTTCAGCTCATATAGACATATTTCACTATGCGTCCTGAGAAGCAAACAACGCAGTCTGATACATTTGTCAGTGAGAGAGGAAACTGGAGTGGAAATACAGAGGCCTGGTGTCTTACAGATAGAAGTGGAAGGCTTTCTGGGCTCCCCACACTACAGACCAACCCTGAGGTCCAGAGCTGCATTGCTGTCCTAGGTTCCTCAAGATGACACACGTCATTTCATTCTGACAAAGTCACTATTCTGCATGAGTCTAGTCCAGCTAGCTTTGGTTACTTATAACCCAGAGCGTTGACTGATACACAGAGGTGCCTGCTTGCAGCTCTGACCCTGATACAGCCTGACCTGTACTTCATTTTCCCTGGTAACTCAAGTAGCACATCTGAAGTGCCCATTTTAAAGGGGCTAGTGCACAGGTCTCCATATCATTAGGAAAAACCCATCCTCCAATGCTTACCCTCAAGGGACGGTGTTTAAAGCAATCTTGCATATGCTAATATTAACCAATGCTTACAACATTCTATGATACAGTCAGAAAAGGTATTCTTAAAGATGAAAATACTGTGGTTCAGAGAAACAGTGTCTTGCTTGAGATTACATAACTAGCAAGTGGCAGATCCAGGTCACGAATCCAGGTCTCATGACTTCAGGTTCCATAGGGGATGTGTGTGTGTGTTTTAAGCTACATATAAGTAGGCTCCCTCTCCATGGTGGAATTTCAGGCAGTACTGACAGACTAGTGTGGCAATATCTCTAGTCACCCCAACTATGAGATTAGCCCTCTTACTTCTACTTTAGGAATTTTGCCTCTGGTAAACTCTACTGATTAACATATTTCCAGTTCTTGTGAAAGTAGAATATTAAGGAACAAGGATCTATTCTGTAATCCCCAAGTCCCTGCTTGGCTGGACGAATGGAAAGCAATTTGTATTCACAGGGAAGCCTGTGTTCTGATCCTGTCTCTGATGCTTACTTCAGGGGTCTCACCAGCTTGTTAATTTTGTTAATATCTCTGAATTTGTTTCCTAATTGGCAAAATGAGAATAAAATGTATAACAACTCTTAGCATTGCTGAGGAGATTAAATAATGAATGCGAAATACCTTATTTTTTTAAACTACAAATTGACGTACCCCAGTAAATTCTATTACATACCTTCAGTTATAAATTTTGTATAATGCATTACAGTTTACGAAACAGCATAACTGTTCCAATTGCTCCAACTTATGATTTATACTAAAATAAGGCCTGGCCAGATAAGCAAGTTGTTTCACAAAAAACAACCCCTGGGGCCGGGCGCGGTGGCTCAAGCCTGTAATCCCAGCACTTTGGGAGGCCGAGACGGGCGGATCACGAGGTCAGGAGATCGAGACCATCCTGGCTAACACGGTGAAACCCCGTCTCTACTAAAATACAAAAAAAATTAGCCAGGCGAGGTGGCGGGCGCCTGTACTCCCAGCTACTCGGGAGGCTGAGGCAGGAGAATGGCGTGAACCCGGGAGGCGGGGCTTGCAGTGAGCTGAGATCCGGCCATTGCACTCCAGCCTGGGCAACAGAGCTAGACTCCGTCTCAAAAAAAAAAAACAACAACAACAACAAAAAAAACAACCCCTGGATCCACCTGACAGAGCTAAAAATTCATCACTGCCACTTCATTTAAGTCATGACATTTTTCAGTGTTTAAAACTATTAAAATACAAATACCTCCCTAAAGAAGGCAAACCATACGCTCCATCAGCTAACACTTCAAGAAAATTAAATTTAACAGTGACAGCTCTAAGACAGGAGGGACTAGGGACACCAGGAAAACTGAAAGGCTCGGAGATGATGTAATTTTCTCAACCACCCCAAAATAGCCCCTTGAAATAAACCTGTCCAGAGTTCATACCTGTTTTTGGCAGTGATGTATGACAAGATATTTTGATTGAAGAACTTCAGGATCAAGGGGATGCAGTTGGCAAATACCAAATGTTGCGATACATATTCAAACTGAATTAAAAATCAAAGCAGAAAGGGCTGCTTATTTGGAGGAGAATGGAAAATATGTTTGAGAAAAAGAGGGGAAGTACAAATCTAATACCCATTCCTGAGAATATCTACTATCTACTATCCACTTGTGTTATCAGTCTTCCTGTCTGGGAAATGGGAAGAATCATCTTCACCCAGCCCATCCTACATGGAGGGGGATAATCTGCAGTATATGTCACAAGCACAAAATAAAGAAGCCAGAAAATAAAATCTCACTCCAAAACATAGAAAGAATTGCTGTGAGATTTGTTCCTAAGCCCAAAAGGAAGGGAAGGCTCCCTGAGGGAGTTGTTTTCCATGCCAAACCTCTGGCTCATAATGTTTCAACTGTGATTGATATAGCAGGGACAGCTGCAGCTTACTCCTGGCATCACTCAGTCAGGATGGTGACAGCACATAATAACCAAATGGACCACTGGGCTCCAGCTCCAGTATGTCTGATATACCATATTATCCTTAGTATTTAGAATATCAGTAAGTATACTGGCTGCTTGGAGTATGGGGTGAGGGGGAAAAGAATATTAGTAAATATTTTAATGAATGAATGAACAAGAGCCCTTCAGCCAACAGATACTGCATTGAGAAGTCTAAGGTGTCTTTGATAGGCTAAATCCCAGAATGTGGAGACTCCATTCTGCTCTCCCAAATCCAGATGTGGTTTGTATACAGGACAACCTAGTGGGGCAAGTTGCCATAAGAGCAGTGTCATGGGGGTTATGTTACCCATGACACACTAAGGAGTGTCAAACACAGTTTATCTCCAGATCCAGAACCTAGTATTCTAGTATAGAAATGGGGTTGAGAAAGCAGAGAACTGTGATGTTTTAAATCCTCAGATCTCTGATCGCCAACAAGTAGCCAAGCAGCAAGCTAAGCTGCCTTACGGCCCTGGGTATGTAGTTAGAGCAGTGGAGTCAGCTTATGCCAAGACCACTTCCCTCTTCTGTTCAATATTTTCTCCCTGGAAAGTTATTTATTTTATTCGTAAAATCCAGGGTATTTTCCAAAGCCCCAGACAAAAGAGCCAACACATATCCAGTATCATCTGATGGAAAACTTTTTTCAGTTTGAGATGTGCCTGTGGCCTTGTCAGGATTCACTGACACACACTGGCAAGGCCCATCAAGCCATCCACCTGTCTGGCTGTGAATCCACACGCTTCCCACCAAGAAAAGCAGAAGTAAACACACATCCACAGTTCTCTGTTCTCTTTCCACTAGAAACACTATCTCCTACCTACCCCTACTCCTCCCAGCCCTGCTGCTGCTCAGCAAACACTGGCAAAAGTGGGAGCACTCAGGGCAACCAAACACACCCAATGATGTCTTTGAATGCATGAAAGTGGAAATACTCTGGTTGATAAGGCCATGGACATAGACCCTGCAGAAGCCTCTCTGTACTCTGAGGACCTGCTTTTCTACCAGCAAGCTTGATTCTGACTTCATAGGAGGAAAATGGGGTAGAGCCTCTGGGCAAGAATGAGAAGCATTCCTCTTTTCTCCATGGTCTCCTCACAGACAGCATCCATTTGCTGTCCCCATCTTGTCCCTATATCTTGGCAATGCCCATGAAACCAAGTCCAATCTCCTTAGCATAGCAAACAATGTTTTATGGGAAAGCAGCTTCTTAACTTTTCTTAGCTTTGATTTCGTCATCTATAAAAGAGGTATTAAATAAGACTACTTCATAGGGTGGAGAGAATTAAATGAGGACCTAGACAAGCTTAACAGGGTGCTAGGCACAGGATAGGTGCTCAGTAATTGTGTGCTAGCATATAGATTATGATATGCTCCCTGCCGATTCCTCCAGCTTCATGTGTCACCAGACCACGCCCATCTTTTCCCACCCCAGGCAGAACTCCAGCAACATTTAATAACGGTTTTTAAAGGTACTTTGCTCTCTCTTCCCCCTCTGGAGTTTTGCATATCAGCTTTTTTGCTTGAAATGCCTCCTGTCCTCCTTCCCTAACAATTCCCATATCCTGGCTAACATCTGTTTTTTTAGGACTCAGGTTAGAAGTCATTTCTTCTCCATCTCAAGGTGGATTAGGTGTTTCCATAGCAACCAGTGCTTATCGGTATCAGCACACTTATCTCTCTATAATTGGCTACTTATGTATCTGTATCCTTTATAAGATTTCAAGGCCTTGAAGAGCCAGAACTGTGCCTTATTCTCAGAATTATATCTCAAATGTTGGAAAAGTGCTTCACATATAGAAAACTATGGTCAATATACCTTCCCCCCCATTTTTGTGAAATGCTTACATTCTCTCTTGCATTGTTTTAAAAACTGGCTGGGCAGGCCGGGCACGGTGGCTCACGCCTGTAATCCCAGCACTTTGGGAGGCCGAGGCGGGCGGATCACAAGGTCAGGAGATCGAGACCACGGTGAAACCCCGTCTCTACTAAAAATACAAAAAATTAGCCGGGCGCGGTTGTGGGCGCCTGTAGTCCCACCTACTCGGGAGGCTGAGGCAGGAGAATGGCGTGAACCCGGGAGGCGGAGCTTGCAGTGAGCCGAGATCGCGCCACTGCACTCCAGCCTGGGCTGGGCGACAGAGCGAGACTCCGTCTCAAAAAAAAAAAAAAAAAAAAAAAACTGGCTGGGCATATTCCTGAGAAGCTAGAGATTCCTACCCACAACCCTGGGATAACTTACAAGGGACACAGACATCTGCACCTTTCTAGGACAGTTCCCACTCCATAACCCTATCCCAAACTCATGCAGTGGGTGTCTGGATTCCCTGAGGGAGAACAAAGAAAAGGCTGGAAGATGCTCATCAGAACTAAAAGGGCCCTCGCACCCTTCCTTTGAGAGATCGGGCCTGGGAAACACCCAAGACCTGTGGAGAAGTGCTCCTAGCTGCTCACCTGGTAAATATGGTTGAGTTTGAAGTGTTTGAGGAGTAGCAGAAGCAGGGTAGAGATACTCTTTACAATAATCTCCTTGTGCCTGTTCACATCGATGCCCAGCTTCATGCTCTGGAGAACAGTGATGCTACAATGGCGAGAGAAGGTATTAGCGCAGAAAGTGGCCTAAAAGGGAGCCCTGCAGGGATCCAGGTATTTGGGTGTGATATAATATACACAAGAGAACTAGAACTTGGGAAACTTGAACTTCTGTGCCAGGGAAACCTCCAGAGTTCCCACTTATGAGCCTGTCTGAAGAAATGCTCCATTGAGTTCTTTGTTTCTATCTCTCTTTTGGCAAGCTCATCCCTTGGCAATGTTCACCCAAATACCTGGGCAGCCAGTCGCTGACACTGGTGTCACCCTCCAGATCCTGAGTTTTGAGCTAAAAAGAGCAAAGCAGAAAGCCCTGAAGGGGGAAGGGAGTACTGGTGGGCAGAGAGGAGGAGATCTCTTTGGAGACAATCTCTGTAAGTGTTAACAAGGTGAGTGGGGACTAGAGAGAGCCTGCAGACAAGACAGCTAGTATCCAGCAGCTGCCCCCGTTGAAGCACTCACGGCATCTCCTCAGGTAGGACATCTGCCAGGATATTGATAGAGTCTGTCTTAGCCTTGGAGGTGGGAGCTGCAGCCAGCAGAATCTTAAGCAGAGCGATCTGGGAAGTAGAAATAAAGAAATTCACCACTGTCAAATCCACTCAGCAAGGGAGTGATTCTTCTGCACCCTAACTGCCCTATAAAAAGTGTTTTAAAGCCATTCTCCAAGTTCTTCCCTCAATGACCATATCTCCCCAGCGTCCAGAAGAGCAAACAGGTGCCCAGTCCTGAGAGGCCTGCCTGTGAGGCTAAGGAGAAAGCCAGAGAGAGCGCATTGGCTGTTCTGCTTTAAGACTGTTCTTTCCAGGGCCTGGCATGGTGGCTGATGCCTGTAATCCCAGCACTTTTGGAGGCCAAGACAGGCAGATCACTTGAGGTCGAAAGTTCAAGATCAGCCTGGCCAACATGGTAAAACCCCGTCTCTACTAAAAATACAAAAATTAGCTGGTGTGGTGGCGCATGCCTGTAATCCCAGCTATTCGGGAGGCTAAGGCAGGAGAATCACTTGAACCTGGGAGGTGGAGGTTGCAGTGGGCCGAGATCGCACCACTGCACTCCAGTCTGGGCGACAGAGTGAGACTCCACTTAAAAAAAAAAAAGACTGTTCTTTTCAAAGGGGAGGATGGAAGGAACAGAGTGAGAGGGACAGTGTGTAGAAATAAGGTGGGAGGCATAAGCCCAACTTCTCCCACTCTTTTCTTTCCTCTAACCCGAACCATTGGTATCTTCCCCACTCCCAGCCTGAGGCTATCTAGTACATGACAGACCACAGCAGATCTCAGAGGGACTACAGTACTTATCTCGGAGGAGGGTGGGTCCCCAGTGTATCCTGTAGAGACCCCAACTTATTCCCCACCCTTCCCAAAGAAGGACTAGGGAGAACAGCACCATCAGAGGAGCACTGAGGAAAGCTCAGAATTTTCACGTGTCAGAGAATGCCTTGCCAAAGGCACAAAGGCTCAGAAAACAAGTTCAAGTGTTGGACAGGTCCGCTTGAAATGGTTTTTAGCTGTCTGTTCCTTGTAGCAGAGAAGGGCAGCTCTGGCCTAACCATCTCCTTACCATATACTGAGGGAGGCTGTACAGCATTCCCTGGTAGAGGATTTCACATGGCGTCTCTGGTACCACCTCTTCCCCCTATGGCAAGAAATACATGGTTTGCCAATGCCACTTTCCAGGTGACCAAAGGCTTTATTTTCTTGGTTGTGAGGGGTGACCTGAAAAGAGCACTAAGCTGGGAGTCAGATCTAGGTTTCTACCCTAGCTGTGTTAATGACTCACTGTATGACCTTGGATAAGTCACATTCCTTCTCTGAGTCCTAGTTTTCTCTTCAATAGGACCATCAGGTTGGCCTGGATGACCTCTCAGGACCTGGGAAACTGGAACAGATGCTACAGAAGCACTTCCTATAGTGTTGATCTGAGGCTGAGAACTCTAGAACATTCTGTAAGCCTGGAAGGAGAGGTAGGTGGCTCAATAGTGAGGGTTTAAAAGGAAGTTGGGTAACATATGGCCTGGTGAAACAGGAAGGAATATCAGCAAAGAAGCTTTTAAGTGGATGGAAATGATTTTCTTCCCCTCTCCATTCACCCCTACATCACTTTCTCCTTTCTGACCAGCCCCCTCATATATAACTATCTCTGTCCTATTGATGACATTAACTAAGCCTTTTATCAGAGTGAGGAGGCTGGGGCCTCAGGGACCCAATAGGCTGCTCAGGCCACTGTCATCTTTGACCAATGCAGTTTCCTTCCTCCTACAAGGTCTCTCTATTACAGGGCAAGGGTTCACTACCATGAGACCCTGAGCCAGGGAAGAATAACCAGCCTCCTTCTGTCCCACACAACTCATCTGCTGCTTAAATGGATGTAAGTCCTAAATGGACATTCAGCGGAGCCTGGCAATCCTGGCATGTTTGCCTTCCTGCTCTCCAAAAGGCCGATTTCAAACCATCTTCCCTCTCCTCAAACCAACTCCTTTGCCCACCATGCCTAAACAGTTGCTGATCCTGCCTCACGCTTCATGGAGAAAACAGAAGCACTCAGACAGGCACACACTCATCTTCTCAACACTACATCTACAAAGAGTCTTATTCCTTCCTTCTTAACATGAAGGATGAACCGCCTGTGCTCGAACAAAGGCCAGTCTCCTACTTGTGCTCAGGATCCCACACCCATTTGCTTTGTTGAATGCCTCAGTCCTGCAATTATCCCCTCTTGGATCATTTATTTTAGGACAAAAAAAAATGTTCTAGTATCTCTCAGCTATAAAACATCCTCCCCTTGACCTCACATTCTCCTTCAGCTACCATCCACTTTCTCTCCTCTTCACAAAACTTTTATATCATCTACCTCCTTTTTTGACATTCCCTTCAATACATACCAATTAGGCTTTCAGTCCCACTACTTCACTTACAGTTGCTCTTATCAAGGTCATTATCTTCATGTTGCCAAATCCAATGGGCACCTTGGTTCTTACCATAATGCCACTTATTAGTAGCATTTTACCCAGCAGATCACTCCTTTTTTCTTGAAAGACTTTCTTAGCTTTTATGATATCATAATCTCCTGGATTTCCAGCCACTTCACTGTCTTTCGTACTCTTCTGGCTCCTTTCCTGACACATGCCCACCTCAACATACTGGTGTGCCCCAGGACTTTGTCCTGCCTTCCATTCTCTTCTGTCTCTACTCCCTCCCTGGGTTATCTCAGTCAGTTCTATGGCCTTTAACACTGCCTATAAGTGTTACAAACAACTTCCGAATTTATTTCTCAAAGTCAGCCCTCTCCCTAGAATTTTAGACTTGTATTTCCAATTGCCTGCAGCTCCACATGGGTATCTAATGGGCATCTAAAACTTAGTATGACCAAAACAGAACTCTTGATATTCCCCCCACATCCTGGCAAATGGTACTTATTCTTGATTCCTTTCTTTGCCTCTCTAACCACATCTAAATGCACTGCAAGTCTTGTCAGCTACATCTCCAAATCCAGGTCGGCATCATCTCTCACCTTGACTATTTCAAGGGTTTCCTAACTAATCTCCCTGGAGTGGGTCTACACTTTTCTGGTCCAATCTTTACACAGAAGCTAATGTTTTTAGAAACATAAATCAGATCATATCACTCCCCTGCTTAAAATCTCCAAAGGCTTCCTTCCCTTTGACTGTGAGTCTACTTCAAGCTCTCTACTTTTGCTTACAGGCTCTTGGCAAAGTGGCCTTAGGCCACCTCTCTGACTCTATCTGTAGGATCCCGGCCCTCGGCCCTGTGTTCTAGCCACAACAGCCTTCTTTCACTACCTCTGACACTCTAAACCTGCTTTCCCCTTGCTAAGGCTGTTCTCTCTGTTTGGAATGCTCTTTCCTCTGATGTTCCTATGGCTGGCTCCCTGTCCCTCAGATCTTGGCTTAAATGTCACCTTCTCAGAGGTCCACCTACTGGCTGCCCAATCTTAGTAGTCTACCAATGCTTCTTTCATGTTATCCTGTTTAAATTTTCTTCATTGTATTTACCATTCTTTGATAGTTTGGTTTACTTAACTTTTTGTTTTTTATCTTTCTTCCTCAACTTCAATATATCATGAAAGTAGGGACCTTGTCTTGCCTGGAACACAGTTAGAGCCTAATATGCTGAAATGAATGCATGCACACATGCTCTGTGACAACACTGAAGACAGATTTTCTTCTACTCTTCTCCTGTGCAGGACCTCCTTGGCTCACCAAAGACATAGGGCACTTCTCCAGCTCCTCTTCATTCTTGATCTGCACATCTGCGATGGAGATATACTTGTGCTGACAAAGATAAGAAGACATCAACAAGGGCTGAGGGCCTCATTCACATGTGTACCAATCTCTTACTTAAATTCCCCAAAAGCAAGGAAATGTTCTGCTTATGCGTTTGTCACCCCACATAGACATGAACTCTTTCAAGGCAGGAGTCTTAATCACCTCCGCATTATCAGCACCAGTCAAAGTGCTTTGTGCACAGTGTTTCTGTTTATTCTGTTTCTACATTCGCGGAAGAGCAGCAAATACGTAAGCATTTATCTTCAAACAAAGTGGAAGGGGAAGCCAGAAACAGGCCCCTGCCCCTGGACCACTGCCCTAAGAGTTTTGATGCGTGTGCATGTATGCACGGAGTGATGACTCCATGCATACAATGGATATAGAGCAGGCTCCTATTCAATCCTGGGCCTTTGGAAGTCAGTGGACTTATGGAGAGAGAGAAGTGAAAGGAAAAGAAGCAAGGAATGGGAAGAGAGAGAGAAGAATGGGAAGAGGAAAAAGAAATGAGAGGAAGAAAGGAGAATTTTAAAATCTACCTGAATATGGGAAACTGAGTAAGTAAAGAGAGACCTAAGTTTTCCTAACCGGCCAAAGGACTGCAGGGGGAATACAGAAGGTCCAGAAAGAGTCTGGTATAAAAGCCCCACCCGGGCTGGGCGCGGTGGCTCACGCCTGTAATCCCAGCACTTTGGGAGGCTGAGGCGGGCAGATCACAAGGTCAGGAGATCGAGACCATCCTGGCTAACACAGTGAAACCCCGTCTCTACTAAATATACAAAAAATTAGCCGGGCGAGGTGGCGGGCGCCTGTAGTCCCAGCTACTCGGGAGGCTGAGGCAGGAGAATGGCGTGAACCCGGGAGGCAGAGCTTGCAGTGAGCCGAGATCGCGCCACTGCACTCTAGCCTGGGGGACAGAGCAAGACTCTGTCTCAAAAAAAAAAAAAAAAAAAAAAAGCCCCACCCAGTATCCAGGAGCCTGGTAATCTGACCTGCTTTGATGGCTCCCTATCCCTGAAGACTGAGAGCCCACCCTGGTCACCTGCTTTAGGGTCTTCACACTCTCATGGATGGGCCTGGGTAATCCAACCAATGTATCTGTGTCCCTGTAAAAGGCCAGACATACCAGATCATAAGCTTCCAAAGTACAGAGAACTACTGATACCCCAATATCCCCCTAGAGTCACACGGACCATGCTACTTTCAACAACATCTACCCCCAGTACCCTAGACCTTCCTCTGCAAGCTTGTAGATCCCACATCAGTGCTTCAGGACACAAAAATAATAATAGCACACAGAAATGTTCCTGGAAATCAGGAGACTTTTATAGTCTTTTGGGTACTCACTTGGTGTGGGAGTGGTAGATTCCTACTTAAAAGGGGTATAGCCCAATGACATCTTGACTGTGAAACTCCACTAATAAAGACTCAATTTTCAAGAGGTCAGTGGGAAGGATTCATGAAGATGGGGAAATGGGGGAAGATTGGATCCGTTCTAACCATGTCTCTTCTTCACAGAATTTTAGCCCATTTGAGCAGGAAGGGCCCATAGAAACCATCTAACTCAATAACCTCAGGAAAAAATTAAGGCCCAAAAGAGAAAGGACTTGTTGCTCAAAGTCCTACAGTTGGCAAAAAACACAAAAGTTCTTTGAGGAAAAGTGGAAGAAACTCAAGGAAAAAAAAAAATCCATAGAAAGAACCCAAAGTAGTCACTGGGAGTTGTCCACGGCCTAGGGGCTCTAGGTTACATTATGACTACCACGCACCATCCCTCATTCCAAGCTACCTGCTCCTCTGGCCCCTAGGAACCACTCTATAGCCAGTTCCAACCAGTCACTTACTGCCCCAGGGTGAATCCGATGAACTTGTTCCTGCTCATCTCCAAGAAGTGCTCAATGTCCTTCTGTCTGAGAAGATGGTGGAAAGACCAATCCCAGAGAAGGGAAGAAAAGCAAACTTTGAGAGAGAGAAACTTTCCAGGCTCCTACCCCTCCAATCAGAGGACTGGAGCGGTGGAAAAAGGCAGCAATCAACAGAAGGAATTTCAAACCCAGGAGTTCTGACTGCCAGACCAACTTAACGAGCCTTGAATACATAGACTACTCCATCTTGGGCCTTTAGAGACTGAAACCCCAAAGCATAGGGGTCCCTGATGCTATTAAACCTACCTGACCTTTGGGGCCCAGGGCAGGCCCTTGGGAAAAGTCACCCGCTCAGCAGAGAGGGGTGCCTCTGAGGGTGGAGGTGGCACCAGAGGGTCCTGCTCTAGCAGGTCTAGCTCTCCATCCAAGGTTCGTTCTCCATCACCAGCAGACTCCTCTTCCTCCTCTGTGGCTGGCTCCTCAGTCTTGAAGAGATCCCTTTCATTGTAGATGTCCAGGCTGTCCTGCTTAGTGAGGAGTTGCTGGAGGGGAAAGAAAAGAGGGTAGGCGTGCAGAGAGCTCACTCTGGGCATCCTTGTCTGAGGCCACCCCATATCCACAGACCTCCAGATTTCAGGGAACATGGAATCTGAACACAGCCCTTGTGAAAACATCCAATTCCCCATCTCAACCCTACTGTCCCCACCCGAACCAATAACAGAACAAGAAGTTCTCAGGCAACCCTGCCATTAGCCAGGGAACAGAGCATAGATAATCCCAAAGTCAGTTACTTAGCTTTCAGAAAGCAGTGATGCCTTTTTTTGCCAGCACTTTCCTTCCTAATTATGCTCTGCTTAGGTGAACATTCAATTAGTTTGCCTTCTGTGAGCATACACCAGCTGGCTGACTGAGGAAGAGGAGGACAGAAGCTTGCTGCTAGGCAGAGGGAAGCAAGTTTGGAATTTTAAATCTTGTGACAGAGAAAAAAAGATTGGACAGAAATAGGCCAAAAAGTTAACAGTGACTGTCTCTGGTTGTTAAGATTGTGGGTGATTTTTCTTTTCTCCCGTCATCACATTTTTATATTTGTTCCAAATTTTCTACAATGAGTAAGCATTACTTTATAAAACAAAAATAAAGGTTAAAAAATTTTATTGCAGATAATGGAGATTGGATTACTGAGCACTACTGTCTAGCCTGTTGATGAACTCAAGTAGGTCAGGCAGGGGAGTTTGTAAGAACATAGTCAGGTCTCAGTATAACCTGTCATTCTGACCTTTTTAGGACAGCAGACTACAGTCATGTGCTGCACAACGATGCTTCAGTCAACAATGGACTGCATACATAATTGTGGACCCATAAGATTATAATACTGTATTTTTACTGTGCCTTTTCTAGGCTGAGATACACAAACACCATTGGGTTACAATTGCATATGGTATTCGGTATGGTAACCTGCTGTACAGGTTTGTAGTCTAGGAACAATAGGGTATATGCCTAGGTATGCAGTAGGCTATGCCATCTGGGTTTGTGTAAGTACACTCTATGATGTTTGCTCAGTGACAAAATTGCATAATGACACATATTTCAGATTGTATCCCTGTCGTTAAGTGTCACACGGTTATATACATAGACCCCTACCCAGTCATCTCTTAAATGTAAGCCTTTGGTTCCGGGGCCAGTTAAGAGTATGGCTGGCTGACAGTAAACCTTCCTGCTGCTTCAAAATAGTAAAATGCCTTACCCCAGAAAAATGGATTAGGTTGGAGACCTGTTCCAGTACCCTGGGTCCCTATTCTCAGGATTATACCCTTAAGTGTTGTTCAGAATGTAAGGAACTCCAGGCACTGAAGTTCAGGCCAATGATTCTGTAGCAAGACATGGCTATATGATGTGATATCACAGTGTCACATCACAATAGCCCAGAGGGCTGTCAGGGCTGGGGGATAGAGTCAAACTGGAGACTCTTAAGATTTCAGGTTGGTCACAGGGCCAACCCAGGCAGGATGAGCCAGGTCATTTACTGCTTTTTCCTACTACATCCAGAGTAGCTTAGAATCTTGACTTTTGGCCAGTGAGTGCCACAATACCATTGTCTGCTTCAGTCCATACCCTTCGAGAGCCACGGCGGCCTCGCAGCTTGGATGGTGGGGGTGCCAGCTGAGACTCTCCCAGGTCAAGAGTGTAAGAGGGCGGGGAGGCAGCACGCATGCTCTTCACCACCTGGATACTGTCTTCAGCCAGTGGAGGCAGGCCCAATTCTGCCCGCTTCTGTACTTTGAGAGTCTGCAGATGCTCAAATCCACCGAGGGTAAACTAAGGAAGAAACAGGAAAGGGGCAGAGAGAGAGGAAGGAAGGGAAGTAAGAGAGAGTCAAGGTCAGGGAAACATGGATGAAAAGAAAGAGCCACAACCTCCCGTCCCTTCAGAGCTTTTCCTTAATAAGGAGGTAGTAAAACAGAAAGAGGCAAATATGATTACCATCCCCACGGCAACTGAGGAGCTCAGGGGTCAGGATAAAGCATTATTTACTGCCCCAGTATGGGAAATATCACAGAAGTTAGGAAAGGAATTCCTGGGGGCCTCCTCAAAAAAAAAAAAAAAAAGAAAGAAAAAAATAGGAAGCTATCTCCCTTTTTAATGAACACATCCAGGTGCTATAAATCCCCAGAGTCACTCAGTTTCCTCTGCAGTCAAGAGGCAGTTCCCCCTATTAGGCCTGCCTTATGAGATGGGAGCCAAAAATGAAGGATCAAGTTGAATAACTAGTAACAAAAACGTAACCACATATTTATAAGAACTTCATTATTTTTTAAAAAGCAAATCCTGGCCAGGCACAGTGGCTCATGCCTGTAATCCCAACATTTTGGGAAGCCAAGGTGAAAGGATTGCTTGAGACCAGGAGTTCAAGACCAGCCCGGGCAACACAGGGAGGCCTGTCTGTAAAAAAATTATTTTTATTTAAAAAAAAAATACATATCCTCTGTTTATCTGGAGGGAGGGCAGGCACTCATCCCAACCTTTTATAGCTAGAGAAACTGAGGTACAGAGAGTTGCCCAAAGTTTCTCAGTATCAGCAAAGCCCAGATCTACCAACTTTCAACCAGTGTTCTTTCCATCAAACATTGGCTTTAATAAGAGAAGGTACCACTGATATCCCCAATTTATGGAGTGGCATATCCCATCCATCCAATAGAAACATGAAACCTATTCTAACATAGAACATCTGATGTCTCTAGGACAGCCTTGTTGCCCCTCCAAATTAGCAGTTGGCTAAGGGCTGCCCTATTCTGCTCCCTGGCTCCAGGCTCCTGGAATGCAACTAGAACAAAGTGAGGTGGCATAGGGTATTGCTGATCTGATAATGTGGGATTGGGGAGAATCACTCACCATGACCACCTTCCAGAGCAGAAGCAGGACCTTCTTTATGGGGAAATGAGGAGCCAGGCCACTGCAGAACTTGGTAACCATGGAGAAGAGTAAAAGGGCAAAAGGCTCCTCATTATGCATGGAGAAGCCTAGGGGTGAAGAGAGAGGGGAATGAGAAAGTGAGGATGAGGCAGCTAAAACCTTGTTCATGTAACCCTGATTCTGGACACACAGAGGAAGACACTCACCTCCCCTGAAGAATTCCAGAGTACTTGGTCCTGAGAAGGAGGCTTAGCCTCCCAGAAGGAAGCCCCTCAAGGGCAGGAAGGTAGGCAATGGAATTAAAATGGCTTAGGCCCCAGAGCTTAGGGTGACGCTCTGGGGTTGGATGTCAAACTAGAAGTAACAATAATGAAGACATTGCTTTCTGGCTAAAAGACTCAATGTCATTCACTTTCCCACATCAATAAATATATTTTTAAAATCCCATAGGCCTTCATATCCTATCCCTGTCAGATGACAACACCAACTTACATTTGAGCAGAACTCAGTTTTCAAGGTGACTCAACTCATTTTTTCATGTGGGATTCGTGATGGAGTGGGAGAGGAACGGCTATTCCCACTTATAACCAAGGAAACCAAGGCATAGAGAAGTTACATGGCTGGTCTTAGCTCATAGATACAGGGGGGCAATCAAGCCCAGCCCTTGTGCCTGCCATGCAGTATCTCTGTCCTAAAAGAAAGGACATTAATTTTAAAAAAGAAAACAAAAGAAAAAAAGGACTGTGCCTCTCCTAGGCAGATGCTCTGCTTCCGCTCTCCCATTAGCACCCCATCCACACCTTCCTCAAGTGCCATTTCTTACTTAATTCAGTGCGGAAGGTCTCCCGGGCTGTCCTCCACCCACAGGGGTCCGTCTCTCGCTCCAGGCGAATATTTTCCACCATTAGGTACATAACACTTAGCAGCACCCTGGGGTTACAGAAGAGTCACAAGAGGTTCCCAAGGCAATTCCCAGCCCACAGTCAGAGACCTCAGGGATGGTCTCTGTGGGAGCCCAACCCAGTGAGATTAGCTAGAGGGCAACTTCCTAATGGTCTGAGTCATCTGGGATTTGGGGAAAAGGTAACCCAGGTGCTAATCATCCGCCCTGTTCCAAGCCCATAGTTAGCCCCACTCACCTGAGCTCTGTGCTATCAGCTATGGAGACAGCTGGTTTCCGAAGGGCACTGCTACAGGCCTGGCTGTTGCTGCCAGGGGGAGGAGAAAAAGAACAGGAATGCATAAGACCTCTTTTCTCTCTGTGCTCTTACTTATCACTCACACAAACATGAGTGCTTGCCATTCCCTGGCTAGGCAGCCACTAATGAAACTGGTCTAGGGTAAAGGAGCCGACAGAATTCCCTTGCCACCTCAGCAAACTCTCTTATCGTAATATGGTGAAGACAAGGCAAGGGCAGGATCTGTGGTATCCACTCATCTTGCATTCCCCACTATGCTTAGTATTGTGCTGGACATAAAACAGATGCTAAGAAACACCTGATGAATAATAAGCAGATTGCACCCTATCTCAAACTCCTGGGTGATGGGCATGAGACAAAACAAGGGGTCACTGTAGTGGTAGCAGCAAATAAGGCAACCTCTAGAACTATAGCCCATGAGGGAAAGAATTGGGGACAGTGACAGGAATTGATTTCCTGTCTTTCTTGGGTCATGCACTCAGAACAGTTTCCCTCTTGAATTACAGAGTTAGGCTGAGCTAAGAGAGTCCTTGAATAAAAAAGAGAACCCACTCAGGATAGGCCCCTGAAGCCCAGGATTAAAGCTGTAAGTGAGGCAGAAGCTGCAGATGTATCCAACCTCAGGGAGGGAGAACAGAATATCAGAGAACATGGCTGGATGGAGGGAAACTGTCAATGAGCTTTGGGCTGAGGTGTGAGTAGACCCAGTTCCTCACAGGGGCTCTCTATAGTAAGGGAAGCAGCATAGAATATGAGGCCCCTTTAAGGAATGGGGGTTGTGTAGGCCAGCCCTTCCCCTAAGGCTTCTCACTCAATTTCCATGTGGAGTAGCTCCAGGAAGGTGGAGAAGGTCCCCATCTGATACAGCAGGAAGCAGTTGTACCTGGACCAGTGTAGCACATCGACCTCTGAATCACATTCCCCAAAAGTACCTAAAGGAGCAGACAGTTGTTACAGGGGTTGAGAGATGGCAGTATCCCAGTTCTTTCTACCCTGCCCCATGATCTTAAGATTTTCCTATAATACTCTGCCCAATAATTAGGCTGACATAGGTATGACAGGGACCCCAAGAACTTCCTGGAATGAGTCAGGGGAGAAGAGAGGTAGTCTCTAGGGTTAGGTCCAATGTGCTCATCAATGGCCTGTCATCTTAAGGGTGGGTTCTTCCAGAAGCAGATCCTGAGGTAAGTAAGGATTCCAGTACAATTAGCTTATTTGGGAATCATTCCCAGGAATCATCAGTAGAGATAGGGAAGAAAACGAAGCCAAGAGTTCACTCAGGGGATAACTTTGGAAACAGTATAAAACACACAACTCACAGTTATTCTATCCAAGAGGGGTGAGACAGTCAGGCTATCCCTCTACTAACTACTGTCAGTCACTGGATGAGGGTGCTAAACTAAAGGAGCACACTGATTCCCTACACTTCCTGGATGCCCTGTATGGGCTGCAGAGAAGGCCCTTGGGCAGAAGCTGGGCATGGTGGCACATGCCTGTAATCCTAGCTACCTGGGAGGCTGGAGCAGGAGGATAGTTCAAGCCTATGAGTTCAAGACCAGCCAGGGAAACATAGTGAGACTTTGTTTTTAAAAAAATTAAATAAATAAAGTCCTTGGGCAAACACATGAAGGTACTGGGAGTTGGAAGTTGGCCAGAGCACCAGATCCTAGAGATACAGGAGGGCACAGTCCTATTTGCTAGTCTTCTCTTCACCTAATGTCTACCCTTTCCCTTCTTTATTTATTATTTCTTTTTAGAATTTTTTTTTTTAGCTCCCAACTGGTTGGTTCTGTTAACAAGCCTCATATTTATGATCGTAGGCTTATTTTCACTCCAGCTAGGCTATCTCATTTCCCTTTCCAACACCTGGCTAACAGGTTTCTTCTGACCAGCTTTCCCCAGTTACTCTATTTAGGTCTGATCATCTCCAAATTACTCACAGCATCCACTCCTGCAGCTATGTTGGCTTGAACTTTCAAAATGCCAGTGAGAAACAATGCAAGGGGTCCATGTGTATCTGTGACACTCTCCTATTTCTCCTCAGTTTTGGGGCCAGGCCACAGTTGATGTCTTGTCTCCATGATCAGCTGGTGGTACATCATCAGCTCTGGCCACACTGACCCTCTTGCTAGTATTCACATATGATTACAGTACAGGGTAAGGAAAAGAAGAACCCTATAAAAAATTCTGACATGCCTGGTAAGATAATGGCAGATCCCAAGGGATCTAGAACAGCACTCAACACTATCTCATCTTCCCCATAAGCACAGGTTACTCCTAGCACGTGACAAGATCTGTCCTTGAGAGGCAAGAAACCTTGCTTTCCTAGCACAGCCTGCATCATCTCAGTCCTGATAATGCCCACTTCCCTCTCAAGCCTCCACCCCTCTAAAGCTAGCAAGGGTAGTCACTCACCTTGGGCCAGGTAGAGAACAGCCCGGGCCACCTTCAGCCGCCGTTCCCTACTGACCACCTCCAGCCGGTCCAAGAGTCCCATTATATAGGCCTTTTGGGCATCTTCTTCCAACTCCAGCCATTCCTTGCCCTGCACTGGGAATAAAAGGCCATATACATCTAGTGTCAGCTATTGCCACCTTTCCTGGAAAGGCTTCTCATAGCATAGCCACCTCTGATCTCAGCTCCCCCCAAAAAGATTATTTTCTCCAAAAGCTTTCCTTATTTCACTGAGAAAGAATAAGGGATGGGAAAAGGACCCAAAATGTTCTGGCCTGAACCCAGTCTATAGCCTCATCTTCAACATCCCCTCTATCCTCCATACACAGCCCATACTGTCCTGTCTCTCTGCCTTTCCTCAAGGAATTCCCTTTGTCTCCCTACATATTCAATTCCTAGTCATCCTTACAGGCCCAATACAAAATGACCTCTTTCCCACTCTTACATGCCCAATATAAAATGACCTTTCTCACTAATGCTCTGGCCAAATACTCTGCTTCCCCAACACTTTTTAAACTTTTCTGATACAGCATTTTCCTCTTGGATGAAGGGTGCTAAACTAGAGGAGCACACTGATTCCCTGCACTTTCTGGCTGCCCTGTATAGGCTGCGTGAGAAGGCCCTTGGGCAGAAGCTGGGTATAGTGGCACATGCCTGTAATCCTAGTTACTTGGGAGGCTGAGGCAGGAGGATTGTTTGAGCCTCAGCTAGTTTTGTGATGTGCACATGATTCCTCTGCTCTCAAACTCTAACTTCTTTGTAAAAGCTGCTTCTCACTCCTGCCTCCAGTATCTGACACAGAATACTCACCACACATTTGTTGAACTGAAAATCAAATTGCCACTGACCAAGTAAGGAAATGGATGAGAATGTCTGAGAATGTCACAGTGTGGGCACATGAAATTACTATTGAGAGTAGGACAAAGTTGAAGATGGGGTGAAACATTAAGGTCAAGGGTTGTATCAGGCAGCACAGGACCAGCTTCTCATGCTTCTACTCCATTGCTCTCCACTTGAGACACAGAGAACCCTGTATCCCATAAGCAAGAAGGAAAGTCTACATGGTTATGGAGGTTGTGATGGTTAATACTGAGTGTTAACGTGATTGGATTGAAGGATACAAAGTATTAATCCTGGGTATGTCTGTGAGGGTGTTGCCAAGAGATTAACATTTGAGTCAGCCGGCTGGGGAAGGCAGATCTACCCTTAATCTGGTGGGTACCATCTAATCAGCTGCCAGCAAATATAAAGGAGGCAGAAAAATATGAAAAGGAGACATGGGCCTAGCCTCCCAGCCTACATCTTTCTCTCGTGCTAGATACTTTCTGCCCTCAAACATCAGACTCCAAGTTCTTCAGTTTTGGGACTCAGACTGGTTCTCTTTTCTCCTCAGCTTGCAGACAGCCTATTATGGGACCTTCTAATTGTGTAAGTTAATACTTGTGATTGTGTAAGTTAATACTTAAACTCCTCTCTCTCTCTCCATATATATATATATCTCCTATTAGTTCTATCCCTCTAAGAGAACCCTAATACAGATTTGGGTACCAGGAGTGGTTCTAGAGGAAGAGAATATTAAGAATGGAGTTCTTTCAGTGGTTTTGAGATTTCTGGAGCTGGCTGCTTAATATGATTAGATCCAAAAATGCTAAGGAATCTACTTCTAATAGTATGGAGAACACTGATAGTCCTTGGCAGAAACTATTTAGAGAGTTATGCAAAATAAATGCATTTGACATTCCTGATTCACCGGTCATGAGAGGCAAGGAGTTAATGACTATACATAATACCTTTGACCATATGTGGAGAACCAAGGAACATAAGAAAGCTGGTTGGTTGTTCCTAAGTTCAGTGGACAAAGTGATGAAAGAAAATGATGAACTCAGGGATTCTGTCTCCCAGCTTCAGAAGCAGATACTGAGCCTCAAATCTGCTAAGATTGCCCTGAGTGAGAGTCTTATCTCCTGTAGAGAAAGAGCTGAAATTGTGGAAAAACAGACACAAACTCTTGTCATGCGAGTGGCTGACCTGCAATGAAAGATGCATTTAAAGATACATTTATAGCCTTGTCAGGTGTCTACTGTTAAAGTGAGGGCACTTATTGGAAAAGAATGGGACCCTGAAACTTGGAATGGGGACATGTGGGAGAACCCTGGTGAAGCTGGGCACACTGAGTTTGTAAACTCTGATGAACCTTTTTTGCCAGGAGGAACAGCTTCCCCATCCCCAGTAGTGGCAATATCTCCTCCCTGACCCATGCTGCCATCAGCCTTTCCACCTTTGTCTGAGGAGATAAACCCTGCGCTGCCTGAAGCAACAGTGATGGCAGTTGCCCTGAAACAGTTGCCAGGCAAGATAATGCTGCTTCTCCTCAGAAGCTACCCCCAACACCTTTGTTTGGTTCTAGACCTATAACTAGACGAAAGTCCTGGCAGGCCCCTAGAGGTGAGGTTGAGAGTGTGACCCATGAGGAGGTGTGCTACACTCGAAAAGAACTATTTGAGTCTTCTAATTTATATAAACAGCAATCTGGAGAACAGGCATGGGAATTAAGGGTGTGGGATAATGGAGGAAGGAACACAGAGTTGGATCAGGCTGAATTTATTGATTTAGGCCCACTAAGTAGGGACTCTGCATTTAATGTTGCAGCTTGGGGAGTTAAAAAAGGTTCTAATAGTTTATTTGTTCAGCTGAATTATGGATTAAAAGATGGCCCACTGTGAGTGAGCTGGAAATGCCTGATCTCCCTTGGTTTAATATACAGGAAGGGATCCAAAGGCTTAGGGAGATTGGGATGGTGGAGTGGATTAGTCACTTTAGACCTACTCATCCCAGCTGGGAGGGTCCAGAAGATACACCCTTGACCAATGCCTTACAAAACAGATTTGTGAAGGCAGCTACTTCATCTTTGAAGAGTCCTGTAATTGCTTTTCTCCTTATGTCAGATGTAATGGTGGGAACCACAGTCACTCAACTGCAAAATTTAAATACAATGGGAATAATTGGATCCCTAGGCAGCAGGGGCCAAGTGGAAGCACTCGACCATCAAAGGCAAGGTAGGTGTAGCTACCATAATGGATAGCAGAGGCAAAGGAGCAATCAGAACAGTCTGACTCATGTAAAGCTGTGGCATTGGCTAATTCATCACGGTGTTCCTAGAAGTGAAACTGATAGGAAGCCTACTGCATTCCTACTTAATTATACAAGCAGAAAACTCCTCGGTCGAATGGACAAAAGACTAATTTGAATTATAAAAACAGAGAATCATGGCCTCTTAATCAATTTCCAGACTTGAGCCAGTTAATAGACCCAGAACCCCTTGAATGAAGGGGAGGCCGGGTTCCCTTGAGGAAGGACCCCACTACATCACCGACAGTTTATGCAGTGAATTTTTCTCCGATTCTTCCTCAAGAAGACCTCTGGCCTTTTACCAGGGTAACTGTGCATTGGGGAAAGGGAAATGATCAGACATTTTGGGGACTACTAGATGCTGGCTCTGAGCTGACCTTGATTCCAGGGGAACCAAAATGTCATTGTGGTCCTCCAGTTAAAGTAGGGGCTTATGGAGGTCAGGTAACTAATGGAGTTTTAGCTCAGGCCTGACTTACAGTGGGCCCCCAGACTCATCCTGTGGTCACTTCCCCAGTGCCAGAGTGCATAATTGGCATAGACATACTTAGTAGCTGGCAGAACCCCCACATTGGCTCCCTGACCGGTAGGTTGAATGTTACTATGGTGGGAAAGGACAAATGGAAGCCATTAGAGCTGCCTCTACCTAGAAAAATAGTAAATCAAAAACAATATCATATCCCTGGAGGGACTGTGGAGATCAATGCCACCATCAAGGACTTGAAAGACAAAGGAGTGGTGATTCCCACCACATCCCTGTTCAACTCTCGCATTTGGCCTGTGCAGAAGACAGATGAATCTTGGAAAATGATAGTGGATTATCGTAAGCTTAACCAAGTGGTGACTCCAATTGCAGCTGCTGTATCAGGGGGTTTCATTACTTGAGCAAATTAACACATCTCCTGGTACCTGGCACGTGGTCATTGACTTGGCAAGTACCTTTTTCTCCATTCCTGTCCATAAGGCCCACCAGAAGCAATTTGCCTCCAGCTGGCAAGGACAGCAATATACCTTTACTGTCCTACCCCAGAGGTATATCAACTCTCCGGCTTTGAGTCATAATCTTATTCGGAGAGACCTTGATCGCTTTTTGCTTCCACAAGATATCACATTGGTCCATTACATTGATGACATTATGCTGACCAGATCCAGTGAGCAAGAAGTAGCAAACACATTGGACTTATTGGTGAGACATTTGTGTGCCAGAGGATGGGAAACAAACCTGACTAAAATTCAGGGACCTTCTACCTCAGTAAAATTCCTAGGGGTCCAGTGCTGTGGGGTCTGTTGAGAAATTCCTTCTTAGGTGAAGGATAAGTTGCTTCATTTGGCCCCTCCTACAACCAAGAAAGAAGCACAATGCCTAGTGGGCCTATTTGGATTTTAGAGGCAACACATTCCTCATTTGGGTGTGTTATTCCTGCCCATTTATCTGGACCCCCTCCCCCCCAGTTCTTAGTGGGGTCCAGAACAGAAGGCTCTGCAACAGGCCCAGGCTGTTGTGCAAGCTGCTCTGCCACTTGGGCCATATGACCCAGCAAATCCAATGATGCTTGAGGTGTCCGTGGCAGATGGGGATGCTGTTTGGAGCCTTTGGCAGGCTCCCATAGGTGAATCACAGCGGAGGCCTCTAGGATTTTGGAGCAAGCCCCTGCCATCTTCTGCAGATAACTACTTTACTTTTGAGAGACAGTTCTTGGCCTGTTACTGGTCTTTGGTGGAGACTGAACTTTTTTTTTTTTTTTTTTTTGGAGACGGAGTCTCACTCTGCTGCCCAGGCTGGAGTGCAGTGGCCGGATCTCAGCTCACTGCAAGCTCCGCCCCCCGGGTTTACGCCATTCTCCTGCCTCAGCCTCCCGAGTAGCTGGGACTACAGGCGCCCGCCACGTCACCCGGCTAGTTTTTTTTTGTATTTTTTTAGTAGAGACGGGGTTTCACCGTGTTAGCCAAGATGGTCTCGATCTCCCGACCTCGTGATCCGCCCGTCTCGGCCTCCCAAAGTGCTGGGATTACAGGCTTGAGCCACTGCGCCCGGCCCGAGACTGAACGTTTGACTATAGGCCATCAAGTCACCATGTGACCTCAACTGCCTATCATGAACTGAGTGCTTTCTGACCCATCAAGCCATAAAGTGGGTCGTGCACAGCAGCATTCCATCATCAAATGGAAGTGGTATATACGTGATCGGGCTCAAGCAGGTCCTGAAGGCACAAGTAAGTTACATGAGGAAGTGGCTCAAATGCCCATGGTCTCCAGTCCTGCCACCCCCAGCCTGCATGGGGAGGCTCCCTATAAGCTCCCTATAACTCCCTATAAGTTGACAGAGGAAGAGAAGACTAGGGCCTGGTTTACAGATGGTTCTGCATGATATGCAGGCACCACCTGAAAGTGGATGGCTGTAGCACTACAGCCCCTTTCTAAGACATCCCTGAAGGACAGTGGTGAAAGGAAATCTTCCCAGTGGGCAGAACTTTGAGCAGTGCACCTGGTTCTATACTTTGCATGGAAGGAGAAATGGCAAGATGTGCGATTATATACTGATTCATGGGCTATAGCCAATGATTCGGCTACATGGTCAGGGACTTGGAAGAAGCATGATTGGAAAATTGGTGACAGAAGATTGGGGAAAGAAGTGTGTGGATGGACCTCTCTGAGTGGTCAAAACTGAAGATATTTGTATTCCATGTGAGTGCTCACCAGTGGGTGACCTCAGAAGAGGAGGAGTTTAATAATCAAGTAGATAGGATGACCCGTTCTGTGGACACCAATCAGCCTCTTTCCCCAGCACCTCTGTCATCGTCCAATGGGCCCATGAACAAAGTGGCCATTGTGGCAGGGATGGAGGTTACGCATGGGATCAGTAACATGGACTTCCACTCACCAAGGCTGACCTGGCTATGGCCACTGCTGAGTGCCTAATTTGCTAGCAGCAGAGACCAACACTGAGCCCTAGATAAGGCACCATTCCTCAGGGTGATCAGCCAGCTACCTGGTGGCAGGTTGATTGTATTGGACCTCTTCCATCATGGAAAGGGTAGAGGTTTGTCCTCACTAGAACAGACACTTACTCCAGATATGGGTTTGCCTATCCTGCAAGCAATGCTTCTGCCAAGACTACCATCCATGGACTCACAGAATGCCTCATCCACCGTAATGGTATTCCACAAAGCATTCCCTCTGACCAAGGCACTCACTTAATGGCTAAAGAAGTATGGCAGTGGGCTCGTGCTCATGGAATTCACTGGTCTTACCACATTCCCCATCATCCTGAAGCAGCTGGATTGATAGTGGAATGGCCTTTTGAAATCACAAATATAATGCCAACTAGGTGACAATACTTTGCAGGGCTGGGGCAAAGTTCTCCAGAAGGCCGTGTATGCTCTCAATCAGCATCCAGTATATGGTACTGTTTTTCCCATAGTCAGGATTCACTGGTCCAGGAATCAAGGGGTGGAAGTGGCACCACTCACCATCACCCCTAGTGATCTGCTAGCAAAATTTTTGCTTCCTGTTTCCGCGACATTACGTTACGCTGGCCTAGAGGTTTTAGCTCCAGAGGGAGGAACACTGCCACCAGGAGACACAACAATGATTCCATTAAACTGGAAGTAAAGATTGCCACCTGGACACTTTGGGGTCCTTCTACCTTTAAGTCAACAGGCTAAGAAGGGAGTTACAGTGTTGGCTCGGGTGATTGACCCAGACTATCAAGATGAAATCAGTCTACTACTCCACAATGGAGGTAAGGAAGAGTATGCATGGAATACAGGAGATCCATTAGGGTGTCTCTTAGTATTACTATGCCCTGTGATTAAGGTTGATGGGAAACCACAACAACCCAATCCAGGCAGGACTACAAATGACCCGGACCCCTCAGGAATGAAGGTTTGGGTTACTCCACCAGGAAAAAACCACGACCTGCCAAGTTGCTTGCTGAAGGCAAAGGGAATACAGAATGGGTAGTAGAAGAAGGTAGTCATCAAAACCAGCTACAACCAAGTGACTAGCTGCAGAAATGAGGACTGTAATTGTCATGAGTATTTCCTCCTTCTTTTGTTAAAAACATGTTTGTGCGGCCGGGTGCGGTGGCTCACGCCTGTAATCCCAGCACTTTGGGAGGCCGAGGCGGGCGGATCACAAGGTCAGGAGATCGAGACCACGGTGAAACCCCGTCTCTACTAAAAATTACAAAAAATTAGCCGGGCACGGTTGTGGGCGCCTGTAGTCCCAGCTACTCGGGAGGCTGAGGCAGGAGAATGGCGTGAACCCGGGAGGCGGAGCTTGCAGTGAGCCGAGATCGCGCCACTGCACTCCAGCCTGGGCTGGGCGACAGAGCGAGACTCCGTCTCAAAAAAAAAAAAAAAAAAAAAAAAACATGTTTGTGCATGTATACACTTGTACTAATATCTTCATTTTATTTCCTTTCTCCTTTATCATGTGACATAAGATTTATTGACTTCATATCAGCATTTAAGTATTGTTAACTTTATATAATACTATTTGGGTTGGGTACTGGTGAGTTTCCAGTTGTACGAAGGATAGTTGTACTATGTTAGGCATAATTATGCCCTTATTTTTGTCTTTATTGGAAGATTATGTATGATCTCAGGAGATGTGTATGAGTTCCAGTTGACAAGGGGTGGATCTGTGATGGTTAATACTGTGTGTCAACTTGATTGGATTGAAGGATACAAAGTATTGATCCTGGGTATGTCTGTGAGGATGCTGCCAAAAGAGATTAACATTTGAGTCCGCTGGCTGGGGAAGGCTGATCCACCCTGAATCTGGTGGGCATAATCTAATCAGCTGCCAGCAAATATAAAACAAGCAGAAAAACATGAAAAGGAGAGATGGGCCTAGACTTCCAGCCTACGTCTTTCTCCTGTGCTGGATGCCTCCTGCCCTCGAACATCGGACTCCAAGTTCTTCAGTTTTGGGACTCAGACTGGCTCTCCTTGTTCCTCAGCTTGCAGACAGCCTATTGTAGGACCTTGTGATTGTGTAAGTTAATACTTAATAAACTTCCCTTTATATATCTATCTATTTATCCTATTAGCTCTATCCCTCTAAGAGAACCCTAACTAATACAGAGGGGATGAGGGATCCCACTTTGTTTTAGCCTTTTACTAGATCAGGCTGGGATATCATAGAAGGAAAAAGCAGGTCTCTATGAGTAAAGATCTGGAATTACCTTGAGTCTTGAAATCTTCTTCAAAGCACCTCCTGTTATTGGTGAATTCCAGGTTCTCAGTGTAACTATACAATTCTGTGGCAGGAAAAACAGAACAGTCACATTTGGGAGATCCTTAAAGAAGCGGCCCAAAGTAGAGAGGGTGGCATGAAAGAGCTAAAGCTTCCAACACATTCCTGTGTCCAATTCAATCCAAAGCCAGCTTCCTCCTTTTCAGAGCAGTTAAAAATAGCCACTTGTGTCCCTGGGAGATTAAACCATCAAACCTGTCCTCTTCCTGCCAGCTGGCTGCTGCAGCAGAGAAGGCAGCCTTCAACATTTGGTGAGGGCCAGGAGGACTGGAGCACAGAGAGCTTAATCTCATCACTCCTGTTTCTCAGGGCTGCAACTCCTGCTTTGTCAACCCAACCAGGAACTATCCTATCTCTAAGGGAAGAGGAGGGCAACACAACTCCTGAAATTTAGAGGAAAGATCCTTGTGCTGGATCAGGAAACCAAGGCAAGGGCTGAAAAGTAAGTGCTAGATGGCTCTTCAGGATTGGAGCCAGTTCATTCTCTCCCTGCTAAGTTTCCTCAAAGGGTATACAAGTTTAGACTCCTGCCCACAGCCACTAAGCAGAGGCTGCAAAAAAAAAAAAAAACTCTAGAGAACAGCTATGATTGTCAAAGGGCTGTTGCAGCCAGGAAAATCTAACTTTGCTAACAGCAGCTTCTCAATACAAAATGCAGAAAGCTTATGAGAAATAGAAATGCCGGCCATGTGTGATGGCTCAGACCTATAGGATTATAATCCCAGCATTTTGGGAGGCTGAGGCAGGAGGACTGCTTGAGGCCAGGAGTTCGAGACTAGCCTGGGCAACATAGCATGACCCCATCTCTACAAAAAATTTAAACATTAGCCAGGTGTAGTGGCACATGACTGTAGTCCTAGCTACTTAGGAGGCTGAGGTGGAGGATTGTTTGAGCTTAAGAGTTTGAGGCTTTAGTAAGCTATGATCATGTCACTGTACTCCAGCCTGGGGTAACAGAATGAGACTCTGTCTCTTAAAAAAAAAGAAAGAAAGAAAGAAAAAAGAAAAGCAATAAAAATGCCCTTTCCTACTCTCTTGCTGTCTCTCTGCAGAACATTATATACGTACTTTCATCTTACAGAAGATGAAGAACTGAAATACAGAAGTCAACAAAAGATAGAACAGATTTCCTTTAAATCTCTGCTCCCTACCTGAGACCCTTCCTGGAAATTTAACTAGGTCACAGGTAATTCACAAGGCAAGAGAAGTTCACGTATGCTCCAGCCAGCTGTGTAATGGTTGAGAAACACCTTGTCTGGGAGTCAGGGCTTTTGAGTCCTAAGTTCCAGAATCCAGGAGTGACCAGAAGCAAATCCCATCACTGAATCTTAAATTCTTCAGTCATTAGTGTAGAAGGTGAATATATATATTTTTAAGAGTAAAGCACCATAAGCCAAATCAGAAAAGTGGGCAAGGCTCTTAGGTACTGAACTGTAGTTCTGGTCTTTTTATTTTTAAATTTTAGATTATGAATTTTTATATACAGGTAAGTACAGAATAGTACATTTAAGACACCTGTGTATTATCTTCTACCCAGATCAAACAAATGTTAGCATTTGTTATATTTGCTTCAGACTGCTGCTCCCCAGTCTATCTTATTCCCTTCTCCAGAGGCAACCACTATAATGAAATTGGTGTGTATCCTCATATGCCTATTTTTCTACTTTTGCTATATGCATATATGCCTATAAACATATGATATTGTTCTGTTTAAAAACTTTTTTATCCAAGCGGTATCCCATTGTATAAATTCCTTTGTTACTGCTCCTTTCTCCCAATTTTGTCTTTAGCACTTATTATTATTATTATTATTTGAAACGGGGTCTTTCTCTGTCACCCAGGTTGGAGTGCAGTGGCGCGATCTTGGCTCACTGCAACCTCCACCTCCCGGGTTCAAGCCTCCCGAGTAGCTGGGACTACAGGTGCACGCCACAATGCCCAGCTAATTTTTGTATTTTTAGTAGAGACGAGGTTTCACCATATTGGTCAGGCTGGTCTCAAACTCCTGACAGGTGATCCACCTGCTTCGGCCTCCCAAAGTGCTGGGATTACAGATGTGAGCTACCGTGCCCAGTCAAGCATTTATTGATATTGAAACATGTTGAGGCCAGGTGTGGTGGCTCACACCTGTAGTCCCAGCACTTTGGAAGGTCAAGGCAGGAGGATCACTTGAGCCCAGGAGTTCAGGACCAGCCTGGGGGCAACATGGTGAGACTTTGTTTCTACAAAAGATAAACAAAATTAGCTGGACATGGTGGCACAAAATTAGCTGGGCATGATAGGGCATGCCTATGGTCTTAGCTACTTGAGAGGATAGAATGGGAGGATCACTTGAACCCAAGAGGTCAAGGCTGTAGTGAGCTGAGATTGTGCCACTCCAGCGTTGGCAACATTGCCAGAGCCTGTCTCAAAAACATAAATAAATAAATAAATAAATAAATATCTTGATTTAGATCAATTATTTTAATGGCTATTCAATAGCTTAATGCACTAATATGCTATAGTTTATCCATTTCCCTACTGATGAGCATTGTAGGTTGTTTCCAACTTTTTACACTGATAAATAAGGCTGCAATAAACATCTCTGTATATTTTCTTGTGCCCAAGTGTAATTTTCTTTAGAATGGATATTTAGGAGTAGACTTGTTGGGTCACAATATGTGTACATCTTCAACTTTGCAAGATATAAGCAAAATGCTTTCCAATTTTATAAAGCAAAATGCTTTTCAATTTTATATTCTGCTCCCCAATGTCTAGCAGTGCATAAAAGTACTAATTTCTCTGCACCCTCACCAACCCCAGGCTTTTAAGTTTTGCACTCTGATGATTGTGAAATTTTATATATATATATATATATATATATATATATATTTTTTTTTTTTTTTTTTTTTTTTTTTTTTGAGATGGAGTCTTGCTCTGTCGCCTAGGCTGGAGTGCAGTGGCCAGATCTCAGCTCACTGCAAGCTCTGCCTCCCGGGTTCACGCCATTCTCCTGCCTCAGCCTCCCGAGTAGCTGGGACTACAGGCGCCACCACCTCACCCGGCTAATTTTTTTGTATTTTTAGTAGAGACGGGGTTTCAGCGTGTTAGCCAGGATGGTCTCGATCTCCCGACCTCGGGATCCGCCCATCTCGGCCTCCCTCCCAAAGTGCTGGGATTACAGGCTTGAGCCACCGCGCCCGGCTGATTGTGAAATAATATTATTTTAATTTGTTTTTCCTCATTTACTAATAAAGTTCAACATATTTTCATATATTTATTGACCATTTGGCTTTTTCTTCTATAAATTCCCATTTATATTATTTGCCCACTTCTCTGTTGGGTTGCTCATCTCTCTCCTCTCTTTTATATATATATATATATATATATTTGTATCATATTCCTATTATGAATTCTAATCCTTTGTTGGTTATTAAACTTAGCTCTCTATTTCTCTGTCACTCATCACAAAATTTATTCCTTGTGCTTATGCACAAGAACTTCTTTAAAATTGTCTCTTTTCTCTGAAAAAGCATGTCTCAAAGTATCACTTCCATGTGACAGAATATTTAACTTTCACACCATCTCACCCAAAGCTCGTGTATTAATAACTGGCATTTGTAGCACATGTAACATGGAGGCCCTTAATGTGAGGAGATCACATTTACCCTAAGCTAAAAATCCAGACAGAGAGAAGCAGGCCAGCACTGAAAGATGAATGCAATCACTTAACTCCAGCTCATAAACATCCAAGCAGAACTCCACTATGATGGTCCAGCCTTGCTCAGCTGGCCAGTTGACTATGGAGTTTTTCCTCAGACTTTGTTGAGATTTTAATAAGGGGCAGATGAGAGAGGAAGAAGGAAAAGATGGAGGTAGAGGAGACAAAGGAAAAAGAGATGGCATGGGATAGAAAAAGGTAGCAGAAAGGAGGAGGCAGGCAAAGATACGGGTGACAGGAAGAGAAAGAGAAGGAATAGGGAGAAGATGGAGAGAAAACTGATTTGAGAGTGCACCAAATCAGTTATTTTCAAAGAGAATAAAGAAGAGTGAGCAGGAAAGAGTGATAGAATGACAGAATGAAGAATACCATAGCCAAGGAGAATCACAGGAGGAAATGTGAAGACAAATAAAGAGATATTTACCACTCTGGGGTGGAGAGAAAAAGGAATGTGGAGAACAGCCTTGGTTCAACAGCCACTTGGTAAGAACAGACAAGCTTCCAGGGAGATCACAGGCCCCTTCCCTCTCCTCCTGGCCGTTCTTCCACTAGCTACTGACTCATCTACCTCATACCTGACAACTCTGCTGCATGCCCATCTGCATCTCCATACTCAAACTCCAGAGTGGGACAGTCCACAGAGCCCTGTAACAGAGAAATCTTGTTGGTAACTGGGATAACTTGGAAAAAGGGGTTGCCAAGGGAAGACTGTACCCTTACTTACCTTCTTCCCCTCATGGAGGCCAAGGTTAGATCAGGGAGACAGTTAGGAGAGTCCTATTTGGGTCTTTCATCTCAGAGGTACCCTATACCAAGCCAAAACTTGAGGCTCAGTGTGGCGAGGGGCTGAGGATTCCCATGCAAAATCAGAAAGTCTAAATAAAGGGCCAGGATCTCAAAAACATATGAAAGCTACGGTCTGTGTCCACATCTAATCTACATGAACACAGACCAGAGGAGCATCTAGCTGATTTATATAAATTTGAGACAGATAGAAACAAAGGGCACTGGATTCTAGCTTTAGTTCTGTCATCAACTCACTGTATGATATAGATCAAGTCTCATGCTGTGGATCATAGTTCCTTATTTTTAAAGAGGTTTTTTAGCTCTAATATTCTGCAACTTTAGGACTGTCAAATAATACAACATCTCCACTCCAAGTTGTAGTAAAGATTAGATTTCCTATGATGATGTATGTATAAAGTTAATCCTATTAAATATATTTTAATATAATCCCATCTTCTAACTTATTTAAACATTTTGGGATATTTCCTTCCTGTATATGTTAATATATATGAATTTTAAAAATTCTCAGTCTCAGCTCTGTCACATACTATTTGATCTTGGACAAGTTAACCTCTCTGAACCTCAGTGTGACACAAAAAATATACTGTTCTTTGCCCCTGGTTCCTGGTACAGAGCTCCTGAAATTCTTAGAAGTTCCTGAGTGATAGGAGTGTCAGTTATTCATAATGAGTCACTGTCAGCTTTACCAGAATTTATGCTCATGAGGTGACTTATGTTAGGAAAGACCAAGCACATGATTAGTGTTTAACTTTCAGCACCATCCCCACATCCAGGGAGGGGAGGGGTACTACAGATTAAGTTCAGTCATATGGCCAATAGTTTAATTATGCCTAGATAATGAAACACCATATGAAAACCCAGAAACAACTAGGTTCAGGCAGCTTTTGGTTTGGGGAATAAACAGATGTGCTAGAGGAGTGCTGCCCAGGGTGTATATGGAAGCTCTGCACCACCCCAAACCCATACTTTGTCCTTTGCATCTTTTCCATTTAGCTGTTCCTGAGTTGTATCCTTTATAATAAAATTATAATTCTAATTACATGCTTTCCTGAATTCTGTGAGTTATTCTAGCAAATTATGGAACCTGAATGGAAGATCATGATAACCGCTTAATTTGTAGTTGGCCAGGCTGAAGTGTAGATAGCTTGGGGATCCCACCTATGGTTGGCGTCTAAAATAGGGCCTTGTAGGACTGAGCCCTTAACTTGCAGGGTCTGTGATAATTCTAGGTAGTTAGTGTCAGAATTGAATTGAATTGCTGGACATCTAGTTGGTGTCAGGGAATTGTTGGAAAATTACCTGCTCAGTTTTCCCATCTGTAAAATGAAGATAATAACAGGACTTACTTCATAGGGTTATTTTAAGGACTCAATGAGTTAATACAAAAAGGCACACAGCCTAGCACTTGGTAGCACTATGTGGGTGGTCACTCTATTTATGATTTTAATATTATATTATAAAGGCATTCTTCTCATATTATTATGACTATTAGTTTAAATGATTGTATAAATGGATGTACATTTATTGGTTTACTTAACTAGTTACTGTTGAATATTTAAATTGTTTTTAATTTTCCTTTATTATATGCATGAAACTGTAATAGACTTATGCTTTTTTCTATATTTAGGATATTTCCTAAGCATAGATTTTTATAAAGAAAATTAATGAATCAAATCTTATGAACATTTTTAAAGCTCTTTGTATATAAGTTGTTCCCCCAAAACATCACGTCAATTTATACTGTCAACAAGGCGAATCATGTTTAAATCCACTATAGCAAAGATTTCCAAACTTTTGGATTACAGGGAACAGTAGGGAAAAAGAAAAAGGTGGAGAGTGGCAAATGACGGAGGGTTGTTGCTGTTTTATTCTGATAGGCACGGACTTTAAAAACTTTTTTAAAAAATTCAAAAAAGAACTGTTTAAACCCCCAAAATGAAGGACAGAATCTCAGAATAAAGAACAGCCATTAAAAACTTTTTCAAACTTTTTGGAAAAATGATACATTTTACATTATATCCCAGTGCGCGCGCGCGCACACACACACACACACACACACACACACAAACTGGAACAAAAGTTTAACAAAGTATTTACCTTTACTGCATATGATGCACTATTTTATATTATTTTATTCCTTTTCTTTCCTTTTTTTTTTTTTTTAAAGACAGGGTCTTCCTCTCACCCAAGCTGGAGTGCAGTGGCACAATCACAGCTCGCTGTGGCCTCAACTTCCTGGGCTTAAGTGATTGTCCCACCTCAGCCTCCTGAGCAGCTGGGACAACAGGCGCGCACCATCATGCCCGGCTAAATTTTTTTTTATTTTTTATTTTTTGTAGAGATCGGGTCTGCCTGCATTTCCCAGGTTGGTCTTGAATTCCTGAGCTGAAGCTATCCATCTGCCTCAGTCTCCCAAAGTGCTGGATAAAAGACATGAGCCATCACACTGGCTTTATTTTTTAAAATAAAAATTTTAGCCTCAATTAATAGTTGCCCCCTAAAACAGTTTGGAAAACACTGTTTTAAATTGTATACATCCTTAAATTTAATATATTGAACTAAATTTTTAGAAAAAGTCACTTCGATGACCTGAATTTTCCTCGTTTTACCACAGACCAGTTAAAACTTTGTCAAGGAGTTGGAGATCAATAAACCAGATCTGGCTAAAAGAGGTCTGAGATGAATCCTTTTGTTAGGTTAAGACTCTTCTTATTAAGCAAACAATTATTCTTTAGCTTCCTTTTTAGGTTGGGATGTTCGTTCACACACGAAGCCAGTGGGAGAAGGTAGGTCAACAGTGCTTCCATAAACAGTGATACATGATGAGGCTCTCTTAACTTGTGCCACAGTAATTCTCTTCTAGTGATTTTTTAAAAGCCCTGGAGAGGAAAAAAAAAAACCCATCTCCTCTAAGGACTGCCTTCCACGGGAAAGCAAAAAGAAGCAGAGAAGAAAAGCAGATCTGGCACCTGGGTACTGTGGTGATAAGGGATGTACTGGCAGGTAAAAGGAGTTCTGCCGCAGAAGGTAAAGGAAAGCTAATCTTTCCAGCCAGGCTTTCGGCAGGCAATGAGCCCAGATAGAGATGATTGCAGCAGTTGTTCATTTCCAGGCATGAAGAGTGCAGCTGCAGACAATCAGCAGGTAAACTGCGGTGCAGGTGGAAAGCTTTCGAGTCTCAAAGGACTGTACTCTCAGAGCCTTTGCCTGAAGAAGCCTTGACAGGTGGGGAACAGATTGCAACCTTAGAAGGGAGACCCAGGCAGAGACTTTTATTCCCCCCATAGAACATACGATTGTGAAATTATTTTATTTATTTACTCACAATTTGTCTCCCCATGGGGGAAGACCCTATCTTGTTCACTGATATATCCCTAGCACCTAAAATAGTGACTGGCAGAAAGTCCTCCATAAATAATTATTGAATTAATGAATGGCTCACCTCCCCAAAAAAACATTTGAGCGAGAACAATGTCTTTGTGGGGGAAGGAGGTACAGGGTGCCCTAAAAGATCAGACTCATCTTGAGGTAGGGAGGGAGATGATGTGGTGGATATCATCTAGCAAGACAGGAGGGCTGAGCTCTTCCTCTGCAAGGTGGTGACTCTGGGCCAGTCTTTTCGTCTCCACTTCTACCTTTTAAAAAATGAATGGATTCCTCCTACTCTACCTACATCAAAATGGAAAGCATACATGAAATCACTTTGGAAACTGAAATGCTATTTAAATGGTAAGGCAAGGTCTGGAATGCCAAAGACCTGGCTTCTAGTACCAGCTCTGCCACTTGATGATGATGATGATGATGACGATAGTAATATACTCAGAGTTACTATGTACTGACTAATTACATGCATTGTGCCTGCACTGTGCCAAACATTTTATAGTCAATTATCTCATTTTGACTTTATCACAACCTTCTGAGGTAGGCAGTGTTAATCTCATTTTACAGATGAAGAAACTGGAGCTCAGAGAGGTTTGGTAATGTGCCGAAAATCACACAGGCAGTAAATGGTAGGGCTGGGATTCAAAACCTGGTCCGACTACTCCAAAGCCTGGTGTTCTTGACCACAAAGTATGCCAGATGTCTGATCTTGGGCAAGTCACTCCTCTTTCTTTTAGGTCTGTAAAATTAAAGGGCTATACCAGATGATTTCTGCAGACCCTGCCACATCTGACATTTTGTCATCTATTCTGATTCCGGCTCCGCTCAGATCCAACTGATGGAAACTGCCTCAATGAGGGGATAGGGGAGTGATAATCATTCAATGCTTTCATCTTCCTAGGTAGCGTTTCTTTTTTCAGGAGAGGAGGAAGAGATCGAAATATTCATACTCCTATCTGTATCCTGGGACTGCTCCCTCCAGATAGCCACTCCTGGACTGCAGGGGCCTGATGTCCGCGGAAGGCGCTCCCTAAACGGCCTAAGACTTATGGGGGATGTGGGGGAAGGGGATGGGCAGGGAACGGGCAGAAGTCCCTCGGCCACAGTGGATCTGTCCAGGGGCCCGCCGCAGGCAGCCTGGGGTGGGGGAGTGCGGTTGCCCCACTCGCCAATCCTGCTTTCCTGCAGCTGAGCTCCAGCCTTCCATCCCTCAAGCCAGTCACTTCACCTCTCCGCTCCTGTTCCCCCCTCCATAAACTGGGATCGGAATTTCTGCTTCAAGGGGCTGCAGCGATTAAGTGAGATAAATATTTGGAAAGTACCTGGTCCGCTCAATACCGCGCTCATCTTCGCGCAGCGGGGGAAAGCCAGAGGGCTAGAAAGCCCCCAACCCGCGGCAGGAGACGTGCGGACAAGGGTCGGGGCCAAAAAGCCCAGAGTACAGCCGCTAGGACCCCGCAGGCGCCCACTGCGCGGGGCTGACCGAGCGCGCCGAGGGCTCCGGGGCCGAGGCCGAATCACCTCAGCCGCCGCTTCCCGCCCGCGAGCGTCTCCGGGCCCCAGCCGAAGCTCTCCGGGCTCCTCACCTCTGACTCCCGCCGCTGGCTTCGGAACGCTTCGCGGCCCTTGGGCGCCGCCTGCTTCCCTTTGCCGCCGCCGTTGCCATTGCCGTTTGCGGGAGGGCCCCCGGTCCCGGGCACGGCGGGGTCCTCCATGCTGCTGGTCAGCGGCTCCCCTCAGGGTTCAGCTCGCTTTGCCCGGGGCGACCCCACAGCCGCGCGCCGGGAGCCAGGACCCGCCCCCTCCGCCGCTATTGGTTACGGCCGCTGGCCGCAACCCCGCCCCGCGAGGCGATTGGCTGCTCGACCGGCCGGAGCGGGACACGAGGAGGTGGGGGCTCATTGAAGAGATTTTGGGGGTATCTTTTTAGTCCTGCTGCATTGCTGGCAGCCAGAGACTCCTAGGTTAGCTACAGACTCCACGACTTGCGAAAGCTGGGCCTTGAGCTCAGGAGGTTTATCTCTGTGCTCCTCACTCGGTGTCTCTCAGCACTCACCCCCGTCCCTGTAGCGACCTTTTCTGGAGCTCTAGTCTCCGCCTCCTGCTCCACTGCAGCCTCCGTTTCCCTGTTACCACCGACCCGGACCCCCACATCCCGGCTTCTGCACACGTCCCATATCCCGCTTAGTCGCAGAGGAGGGATGGCACCGCCATGTGGCCAGGGACATCGCCCGAAACGAGGGACTCGCTGTCTCCGGAAGCTGAGAATTCTCAGCGTTTTTCTGAAGAGAACGCATCTCGCCCGGAGCTAGGGCTTGGCTGGGAGACTGGGGGTCTAAGGGTGTGTTGGGGGCGTTTTTCCGTCACTGAAATTGGTGATGCCCTCGAGGGCTGCTCCTGTCATCTGCCCTTCTCTGCTGTAGGGGGCCTCTTCCTCATGGTGTGTAAATGTTGGCTGGAGAGCAAGCCACCACCCTCACCTCACCTGCTCGCCAGTCCTTTCTTTCCTTCCTCTCTCTTTTCTAACATGCTTCCTAAGGGCTCATTGTTACTGGGAGCAAAAGAAGCTGTTTGATCTGCCCTCTCCTGAATTTAAAAAAGCAGCTTGTAGTAAATATTTAGACAGTCTGACTTGGTAATAGAATCCCCAAAGACATAGGCCCAGGGGAACGGGTGGGACCAAATCGCTCTCCCTAGCCTGGTTGCTTTCGGAAGGGTCTGGGGGATTGTTGAACTGTGCTTGGTGCCAGGCACTGCAGTAGGCGCTTTCCAGATATCACATCATACCTCTCCCCGACAGGGTATTTTTACGAATCCAATGTTACTGATGAGGAAACCGGCACTTGCAGATTCCTCCCTGCAGTTCCCAAGGTATCATATTCTATCTCGTCTCAGGGTCTTGCCTATGCTGTTGTCTGGAGGAGACTGTCTTCTCTTTTCCTGGTTGATTCCTTTTCTCCCTTCCCTTAAAGATTCTAGTTAGTTATCACCTCCTCCTCCTCCACAAAGCTTTCCTTTTGGCCCTCAACTCATTCAGGCTGTGTTGGTGTCAAGCCAGTTCTGCCTAGATCCAAAATCCTAACATTTTCCACAATATACCCAAAGCAAGGGGCCTAGAGGAATTAATCCACCTTCCCATATCTTAGGGACAACTCTGTCCCTTTCTTACCATCTTTCTCTCTCTCACTTTTCCTTTTGCCAGTTCATAGGTGACAGAACAAGGCAAGTTTGAGAGCACTCTTTGGAGCTTTTTGGGTTTTCTCACCCTGGTCCTCAATATCTCCTTACTGTACCCACCCATCTTCCCTTTCTTCTTCCAGTCCCTCTCCTCTCCCCATCCACATATAGGCTACTTGCGCGTAAGACCAAATTTAGCTCATTTTTGTATGCCCCTAATTTATGTACGTTTAACACAGGGTTTCACAGTCTCTCTACTATTGACAATTGGGGCTGAACACTTATTGTAGTGGGCTGTCCTGTGCATTGTAGGATGCTTAGCAGAATACCTGGCCTCTCTTCACTAGATGCCAGTAAGTAGTATCCTCCCACTAGTGCGACAATCAAAAATCTCTCCAGATACTGAAAAATGTCCCTGGTGGTGGGGGGGGGGGGAAGGGGCATTTACAGAATTGAATTGATATGAATTTCCAAGAAAGTCCCTGGCTCAAGGCCTGAACTACTTGACTTTGGAGTTTTTTCAGGGTATAATTTGTTAAACTCTTAAAAAATTACACTCTGCTTTAAAATTCACAACCCACGCCTTGCTCATCACTGCTTCAGTGTGGTAAACTTGCCATAGCACAGCCCATTGGGGTTTCTTAATAAAAAGAATTCATTATTCTATCTCTTTTCTTCCCAGTACTTCTTCTCCTCCTAAGTAGTCAGAGCCCTAAGGTTAACAGGCCCAGAACTTCATATTCTTTTGTGAGCCTAGTCAATCAGCAGAATATGAACCGTGGTAGCAGACAGGAGCGGCCAGTTTTAACGCCTTATTCCTTTTCCTGCCTACTCCTAGGGGAAAGGGCAGACTGATCTTGGGAGTAGGATAGAGGACAGCTTGCAAGTCCCCTCTGGTGGCTTGGCTATCTAAAGCCACTTACTAAGCCTAGAGCTCCATCTGGCTTTAATTTCAGAGAAGGAATGTGTAAAACTGGTGCTATGAAGACTGCGTAGAGTCAACACGAGACCTCAATCCATGATCTTTTCCACATCTCAGTGGAATAGAAGACCTTTACTAAGATCAGACACCTATGTGCTCATTATAGGCCCAGACATTCAAAATTTCTAATAAGGAGGAAGATATCTGGAAACGACTGGAAGATGCAACAAGAAATCACAGAGTAACTGAAAACTTTGAAACTATAGGCCATGGAATTGGCACACATTCAATTTATTTTAGCTTATTTGTCAACAAAGGCATGTTAGCCATCAATACCATTCACCACAGAGGCACCCATACCTGGGAGCTAGTCGAGGCTGGTCAAGTCTTTCCACCTTGCGGAGATGACTCTAATGCTGTTATTTTTATATTTGACTTTATTAAAAAACCTACATTACCAATTTCCCTTGTCCCAAAACTCAAGGCTGCCAGCAGAGGGTTGGAGGTATAAATAGGTATAGTTACAATAATCACATATACCCTTTTCCCCATATAAGCACTCCACTTTAATCCACAGAGGTCAGATACTTTACTAAATGGATAGTAGCTGGCACTGAGAAAGCTTAATAAGATGCAGGAAGTTTTAAAGTACCTGCTTTTTGAGGCTACCAGGCAGTTATGATAATTTAGTAAAAAAAGGATAGAACACCCTCCTCTCTCCATAAAGGGCACCTGTGGGTGTAATGATGCAACAGAGGTTGTAGGGTTCTAGACTGAGACAAGGAATTATGTCTATGCAGTCAGCAGTGCACGCCAGGCTCTGTAAATAAGCAGCACTTTTTATACATCAGTTCATTAAATCCTTACCCTAGGAGATAAGCAGTATCCATTTCACAGGCAAGAAAATCAAGGCTGTGAGTGGTTATGTAATTTGGCTAAGTTACGTAACTTGTAAATGGCAGAGCTGGGATTCAAACCCAAGCTAGCCTGTTTCAAAGTTCAAGTTATTTTCCACAATACTGTGAGGTGGAGAAACTTGTGCAGCAGTGGACAGCTTGGGCTTACCCTGTGATTCTGAAATGAAGACCCAGGCACCCAAGGTTCCATCCTTCACAAATGAGGAGTCAAGCCCTGTCGCAGGGGAGCGAATCCTTTCAGCTGCCTCACTGGCTTCACTGCTAGCTGCTGCATTCTCCTCCTAACTGGAATGCCACTAATTTTGAGGATTACCGACTGCCCAGACTATTCTAGTCCTGTGGCCCTTAATCTAAATAATCAGAAGCCAAAGTGGCAGAAGATTCTGCTATGGAAAGAAAACATCTTGCATACAGGATGCAGAACTAGTTTAGGTTGTCAACTAAAGAGGGTGGCTATCAGAAAGCTACCCAAAGATGGTTACTCTACTGGCAGTTGAGAAAGAATAGGCAATTGGATTCATCCTTTGGTTGATTATGTCAGGCAACTTGATTTAGAGACAAATCTCTGCCTGATGCACTTCTTTCTTCCCTTTGGCTGGATATAATCAGGTCCTAGTTATTAGGGTCCTTTGGTCCCAAACTGGGGGATGCTGATTTCCTGCGCTTTTCAACTAAAAGGGAGTCAGGGACCTAGAACTATGGTTTAGTTTCTCTGCCTTAAGCCTACAGTCCTCAACCCCCAGGGTGGTGGTTCTGAGAAGGCAGGTTCTTTATACACACAGCCAGGATGCACGTGTGTGCTGGCAGGTAGGAGGGGAACAGGATATTTATTAACAAAGCTAAGGTCATTCAAACATGCCCATTGGTAATATTTTCACATCCTTGCCCTACAGCAGGATCTCTAGTTTGTTGCCCAGAGATCTCTCTCATCTCTGAATTCCTAGTTCACAGAAACAAGAAATACCCTTAAGAGTCCATGTTAAGAATATTTTATTTGTTTTTTGAGATTACATAGTCATTATTGCTGATCTAATACAATCACTTAGACATAAAGATTTCCAAGAACTTCTCAGAAATGATGATCCTTAGAAGTTTTATTCCTTTCAGTAAGATGACAGAACTAGATGATTACGTATATATAGAGAGATATATATATGTATATATATATAGTTTAGAACCTGTCCACATATAATTTGCTGGTGTTGCCTATTTTCCTTCTGTAATTTTCCTTTATTGAAAAAGCTTAATGCAACAATGCATTTTGATTCCTTTTTTAAAAACCATGGCAAAGTTAATTTTGAGAAAACCACAGGAGCGGCAATATCAGATCTGTTCAGAGAAAAGCGAAGCAGCAAAAAAGCTTTGCAAGAGTATGTGGCCATGGGGAGCCGTGCTCATATGGGCAAGTAGGATTGGGAGGGAGGAGAGCAGAGGGAAGGTAGAGTAGATACATTTTTTTTTTCTTTGTTTAAATGAAAAAAAGAAAACTGAATATCTCCATTAAGAAGGCAAAAAAGTGCCAGGCACGGTAGCACACACCTGTGGTTCCAGCTACTCAGGAAGCTGAGGCAGGAGGATTGCTTAAGCCCAGGATTTTGAGACTAGCCTGGGCAACATAGTGAAACCCTGTCTCTAAGGGGGAAAAGAAAAGAAGGTGGCAAAATATTAGCACAGATTCATTGTAGAGAAAATGGTATGTATCTTCACAGACTGGAGCCACATACAAAGAGATAATTAGCCTTCTTTCCCATGCTTCCAGATAACTAGGATGCAT